TCAATCTTTCTGTCACCGTGACATCTTCAGATACCATCAAATCTGACAATTTTAGAGACTACATAGAAGCTCTTTATAATAGAGCCTGTGTATTATTAGTTAGCAAGGCCTATACCTTCGTCTAACTCTAGGCTAAGATATAAGCATGTAACTACTACTAACTTAAAATTAAAAGTTAAAGAATATTGTAAGTTTACAATTCTTTAAAGAAGGGAAATAATATTATAAACTAGTCCTAGATAGAATTGTTATAGACTAAGAAGGACTAATAAAGATTATTAAAGGTTAGTTTAGTTATAAGGCTAGTTATATAAAAGTATATCTTTAGATAGATTATAAACCTTAGCAGTTTGTTTAAATATACAGTATAACTACTTAGTCTTCCTTGTCTGTCTAAGAGTACTTGCTAGCCTTTTATTTTTTATAGAAGGCCTGTAAGAAATATTGCTATCTATTTTTATCTATAGTCTTAATATTATTATAAGAACTATACTCTAGGATATCTTTAAGGTATATTATTTCTTTTTGCTTAATAGCTAGTATACTAATACCTTGCAGTATTATTTTATATAGTTAAGTCCCTATAGCCCATTCTAGGAGGCTTTAACATAGTATAAATGCTTAAGATTAAGGGAAAGCCTGTGCTAGCATGAGAGAAGAAGTAGTATTAGGTAAGTAGTAATTGCCCTAGTAATTATTATGCTTCTAATAACTGTATAGTCAATATACTTAAGACTGTTTAGAAGCATGCATTATCTCTAAATATGCCTAAGACTAAGACTAAGGAGCTATTGCTACTACTATTCTAGATGTAGTTTACCTAGAATAAGAGAGCAATCCTAGGTATTTCCGTGCTGGTACAATAAGCTAGGAAATTTGCATACAGTCGTGCCTGCATAGCTAGCCTTAATAGTTATCTCCCACTCTCTAGTATCTATAAGACATATACTCTAAGGGCATACAAGAGCTATTTTAGTCAAGATCGCTACAGTTATAGTATTGCTATTAAGATACTTAGATGTATTATAGGTAAGATAGAAGAGATTCTTTAGGAGCTAGAGTAGGATGCACTTGCCTTCAAGCAACTTAACATGGACGATAACATCATCACCTATCTGCACCTTGGTCAGGTAGTAACGTACATGGCAAGCGAGCGGCCCAGGCAAGCGAGCGGCCCACCCCACCAAGTTTGTGTACCTGTTGAAGCATACACCCCAACCACATCAAGAGATAATATCTATATATTAATATAGCAGATTAAGCAGTAACGTGTTTCCTAAGTGAGTGGGTACTTCTAACCGAACGGCCACCCTCCTAAAGTTGCATCACTTTCTAGCCTAATGCTACAACACCACCATCTAACAGAGAGTTATATAGGATATTAAATTATAGCTAAGATGCATCGCTATCATTTGCATCCTCGATCTCTATCTTATATGTACATACATTGTGGCCAGTTTTGCTGTAACGTCTACAGCACCTCTCTCTACACATCCTCTTTGCAGGCTTCTTACCCCCTCCTTCCTCACCAACCACCTCAGGAGCAATCAAATCAAGTACCTCACCAACAGTAAGTGTATCCTCTGTTCAGATATACTTTCTTTTACGACCTTTCTGCTCTGTTGCAGCCTCAGCTATCTCTCGGAGCCCTGCCATTTCCTTGCACATCAATACCATTTTATGCACTATCTTTTCAGCACCTTTTCTAAACTGATTGAAAGCTTCAAGGATAGAAGCAGGTGAAGAGCTTTTGTGCCTTTGAATCTGATCATGAATAAGCATAGATTGAGCCTCTATCTCATGGGCATTGTATGGTGTTTTAGATTCCCATATGGCATCCTGTGATGCTGAAGGTTTAGGCATACGAAGGACCATATCAAGCTTTGATAACACACCCTCAGGGTTGTATGGGACTAGTCCAGCAGCTCGGAAACTTGCACAGATATGATCTCTAGAAAAGGCCTTATTAAAGGCCTTTATAAAGGCTGGCAGGAAGCTCTCTTTCTTGATATGCTTGGTGCTATACTGTGCCAAGACTGAAATCTCATCTCCATATGCCCACTTCAACAGCGAGAAACACACCAAATCAAGCAGTTGTAGGATGTGCGATGAGTGAGATGGCATACAGAGAACAATAATCTTCTCCTCTTTGCAGAACTTATAAAACTCGAAGGACTGATGGCTCTCGTGGCCATCGACAATTAGCAGCCTGTATGAACCTATACTATGCACCTTTGTATGTATGTTAAAGTGTTTTAGCCATGCAATCGCAAGCTCGTTTGATGTCTAGCCATTAGGACTAACCTCAAGGACCCAGTCCCGAGGTACATCCTTGTACCAGGAAGAGATAAGCACCTTGCCAGCGAAGATGACAAAAGGTGGGATTGCTCAGCCTGCTGCACTGATGTCCTGGATTATAGTGACCCACTCACAGTTATCTGGCTGGATCCTCTTTGGAGTATTCTGCTTTTCAGAACCTGTAAAAACCATCTGAGCCTTGATCTGACCTATCATAAAGCCGGTCTCATTGAAGTTGTAGGTGTCTTCAGCCTGGATGCTGTACTTCTCCTTGACAGACTGGATAAGTGAGAACCAAGGGCTTATAATGTGTGCATCTTCGTTTAGAGCTCGCTTGGCGATCGTATGGATGGCTCCATCGAAGCTTGATCTCAGATGTACATTTGTTGAAGTTGTCAACCCAGAGGTGGCCTACAGGTGGTTGGCCACACTCTGCAAGCAGGTCATTGGCCATATCTTGAACCATAGTCCTCGTAGCTCCAATTCCTCTTGAATCCAGATCAAGTATATATGCGACAATCGAGTCCTCTTCTAGCTTGGTCAACCTCTTCGAATTAGGCTCGCAATCGTATCGGGAAAGCTGACCAGCGCATCTAGCTTGAAAGATCGTTCGTGGGACATTATAGACTGTAGCAGCATGTTTTACATTCTTAATTTCATTTTGTTTAAGAGCAAGGATAGTAAGCTGCAGCGAACTTTCATTAGAAGTCATTTGCGTGTTGTGTGGCAGAGATATCATGGTATGAGTTTGATGTTGGATGTGACTTCAGAAGGGTGGCCGTTCGGTTAGGAGTGGCCGCTCGCTTAGGAAACACATTATCTAAAGTATCTTTTTTATATGTATGTGAGTTATGGCCAGTCTCTCTGCACCTCTTGCAACGTGCCAGAGTCTGGTGGCTAAGGCCTGATCACTCTCCACCTTGATGCTGTTCACGCTCTATCTGCTGGTCAGCCTCCTTTTGAGCGAGTATATCCTCTCTCTCTTCTATTGTTAAGGTCCCCTGCTTCTGTATCCACTTCTTTTTATGCTGCTTTCACTTTAACACTGCCTTGTTGGCTCTCTCAAGGCTAGCAATCTGATCACACATTAGCTCGGCTGAGAGCATCATTACCTCAGCTCCTTTTTTAAGCTGGTTGATTGCCTCAATAATTGATGCTGGTGATTTGCTCTTATGCTTTCGAACACGCTCACATATTAGAATCGATTGAGCCTCAAGCTCATATACATTGCTTGGTGTTCGAGCCTCCCAGAGGGCCTCTGCTAGGGCTACGGGGGTAGGTGTATAGAGCTGCACATCTAGCTTTGACAGAACAATCTCTGGCTGGAGAGGAACTAGGCCTGCACCTCGAAAGGCTGAGCAGATGTTGGCTGAGGTGAATGTTCGATCAAAGGCTGCCTTAAAGGCTGGCAGAAATTCGAGCTTCATCATATGGTTGATGTGGTGGCAGATTAGAGCCTCAATCTTGTGGCTGTATATACACTTTAATGGTGAAAAGCAGCCAATGTCAAAAGGTTGGAGTAGATGAGATGAGTGAGCTGGCATGCACAGCATGGAGATATTATTCTCCTTGCAGAATTCTTGAAACTCAAGGGAGTGGTGGCTCTTGTGGCCATCAAGGATGAACAGATGATGAGCACCTACAACACAGGTCTTAGTATGAGCATTGAAGTGCTTTAGCCACTCAACTCCAAGCTCGTTAGTAGTCCAGCTGTTGTCATGAACAGCGATAGCCCAGTCGTGTAGGATATCCTCCTCGTACCAAGCAGATAGATGGTGTTTGCCAGCAAAGATGATGAATGATGGGATAGCCCAGCCAGCAGCATTGATTCCTTAGATAACTGTCACTCACTCGTGATTGCCTAGCTGGATAGCCTTTGGCTGGCCTCTCCTCTCTGACCCTGTTACAACAAGCTGAGTTGTGATCTTGCCCATCATAAAGCCAGCCTCATCGAAGTTGTAGACGTCTTCATTACAGATGCCATACTTGGCCTTTGTCTGCTCTACCAGCTCAAACCAGCTTCTGATAAGGATGAGGTCTTCGCAAAGAGCTCTCTTCCTGTCGTATGCTTGATTCCAATACGTCTTGAGAGAATCTGTACACCTAACAAAGTTGGCTGGCCACTTCTGCCCGACCTGGCCTGCGCCGCATGTAGCTAGCAGCTTATTCGCCATATCATATATGGCTGCATATATAGATGCAAATCCATGTTGATCCAGATCGAGTATATAGCTGATAATCACCTCCTCTTCTAACTGGGTGAGCTTCTTTGAGTTGGGCGGGCAATTGCGTTGGGCAGGCTTTCCAGCGCGTCGGTGTCAGAGCGTCGTTCGGGAGACTTCAAATGTCTGCGCAGCATCTCTTACAGACTGAATTTGGTTTCTATTGATAGCTGAGATTGCAAGGTGTATATTAGCCTCAGAAGAGGCTGTTTGGGCTTGAATTGGGGAAGCCTTGGTGGGTAGGAGTTCACACGTCTCAGAAACTTGGTGGGGTGAGCCGCTCGCTTGCCATGTACGTTAAGTAGTTAGGCAGGAACATTGTAGTATGAATGAAACATTGTTCAAACAATAAACTTCAGTGACGGTGCTGTTGTGGAGTGTTGGTGGTGCATTCACGACTTACTTCACCTTTGTCTCCGTGCATCTCAATCATGTCTGTCAGCCACCTTTCTTTGTGTATGGACGTGCGGTTCATTGTCAACTTCAACGAGCACTCCACCCCTTGTTACCGGTCCAAAGCCGCGATTCCAGCGTATGTTGCTGGCATCATCCCGCACTGCTACTGATAAAGCCTGCCATGTTTCCCCCGCCAACTTTTCCTCTCTCCCCAAAAGGCCACAACCAAACCAACATGTCAGACCCCTTCTCACGTCCCCTGATCAGGCCCGCCGAAGCCCCTGAATTGCCCCGCAAGGGCGCCTCCAACGTCAAAAATCGGTGGAATCCCCCTTCCTGCCTTCATCGTCCTAATAATGTTCGGCCCTTTCTTCCTCTCCTTCATTTTCTTCATGCTTTATCACTATCTGGTACAAAAACCGCGAGATCAAAAGCAGTTGGCGGATGAGGCGCGTATAGAGGCTGGGAAACAGGAGGCCGAGTTGCAGCTTCAGCACCTGGTGGAGCAGAGGAAGGTAGAGCCTCGGGCACCGCCGGCTGCAAGGACGCGGGAGGGGGGGTTAGCGCTCTTTGATGTAGCTAGCCCTGGTTACAGGATTGACCTTGATTGAATTATGCTCTTAGACTGCCAATGGGAAATGGTCAATAGGATGTGGGACACGTCTGAGGAGTGGAGCTTATCAAAGCTGTCGCAGTAGAGCCATCAGCATAAAAGCATTTCAGCGCGAGCTGCAGATGCTATTCCAATTGTAGCTGAACCGAAATAGAATACAGTTGTCCCTTGAGACTTCCGGATCGCTTAAGTGTCACAACAAACCTTCGCAAGCAAAAGAGATGAAAAGTTTGCCGAGTATGCAACTCGAACCCGGAGGCAAAAAGAAATAGCTGAAAACGGTTTCGATCCGTTGTCCTCCGGGTTATGAGCCCGGCGCGCTTCCGCTGCGCCATTCAGCTTTTACTTTGGAGTTATGGAAATTTCTGTTTAATAAATCTTATTAAGGGCAAAGTATGCTTTTTCACTCCACGAGCCAAGAGTGGCACATATACGACATGCGCACCAAAAAACGAGTACCATTCCAGTAATACACATAACCCTGCAAAAAGCCCTCGTTGAGAAGAAGCTATAGACTGCCTAAACATAGATGGCTTTGCGGAGGTCCGTTCTGCCATCACGGTAGAAACCTGTGGCTGTTGGACATTGGCGCTAACCTAATCTGTATTAGCAAAAACGCGTCCAAACGCGACACGCCATTTAGTGGGTTCCGACTGAGTTATGAGATAACTCGGTCATCTATCGTTGCTCGTCGAAAATATTCGTTCACGCCCATGACCACATGAATTCGGACTACTCTGACATACCTACTTCCTTTGACCCTAGAATATTTTTACAGTCACAACCCGATATTCCCACTGAAGACGCGGTCGCGTCTGATTCACACTCCGACGAACTAGACGCAATACGTCAGTGTATCAAGGAGGATAAGGCAGAGCAAGATCGGCTTGGAATAGTAATCCGACACAGATTGTGGAAAACCGCGGACGTATTCAGGAGTGAAGAGGACCGCCCAATTGGTAAATGTGTACTTCCGCAAGGCGCGCGGCAAACAGCTGGTCACTGACAGAACCAGACACTACTCCTTCTAAACCTCCAAAGTCGTTGGGGAACTACAGCCTGCCATCTTCACCTCCTAGTCTCGGTATGCCACTCGCATCGTCGCCTATCACCTACCCACCGAGCTCTATACCGCAACATACCACTCCACAGAAAAGAAAGCATTCTGGAGCAGGGCCGAGTCCTCTGAAGCCTATACCGCCGAACCAGCAAAATAAGCGTGTGGCTGGCTTCTTAGACGATTCGGATGATGAGGACCAGGTCGCAGAGCTAAAGGAGCATGCGCCAAAGAGGAGGGCGATTAACGTCAACACGGAATTGCGGAATGAACTAGACATTGACACGCCACCTGCCAGTCAGGAAGACATCGAACGGTTGCAAGATTTACAGCTTGAGAACGATGCACTCGTTCCGGCGTTTTCGGCAGAGCAGCCATCCAGTATCTCAGATGAACCCTCTTCCGCACAGCCCAAGCGCGGAGCTGTCGCGAAGACGGCTGCTGGAAAGGCGTTTTACCTGCGAAAGAAGGGCCCAAGAGAGACTGTTGCATTTGAACAACTTATTGCATCACGTTCAGTCGCTACCGAGGGTCGGGCGCGAACGAGCTATTATGGAGTCGACATACATAATCTGATGGATGAAGCCAGAGTTATGGACGAAGAGCAGGCACGGCTGCGGCAAGCAAAGGACAATAATAGCGCACAACCCTCTATCGAACCGACTGTGCCGCAGCCGAGACATGGAAAGAGCAGTAGGACACTGATGTGGACTGAGAAATATCGCGCAAAGAAATTTACAGATCTGGTCGGAGACGAGCGAACACATCGGTCAGTGCTGCGATGGTTGAAGGGCTGGGATTATATTGTCTTCCCCGGGACGGCCAAGGTTAAGCACAAGAGTGCGAAGAAGTTTGACGACACTGAAGAACACAGGCACCGGAAAGTTCTCCTTCTGACGGGACCTCCGGGCCTTGGAAAGACTACACTGGCTCACGTGTGCGCACGGCAAGCTGGATACGAGGTACAGGAGATTAATGCTTCGGACGATCGCAGCGCTCAAGTGGTCAAAGGTCGAATACGCGATATGGTCGGAACCGAAAACGTGAGGGGCGTCAATACCACTACAAAAGATGGGAAGGTCCGCAAAGCTGGGAAGCCCATATGCGTTGTTGTGGACGAAGTGGACGGCGTGGTCAGTGGAAGCACTGGAGGCGGTGAGGGAGGGTTCATCAAAGCTCTCATCGATCTGATCCACCTAGACGAAAAGAACTCCAAGCTAGTTGGTCAGCAAACTTCTACGACCGGAAGGAAGAAAAAAGGCGACAAGTTTCGTCTACTACGACCCCTCATACTCGTTTGTAATGACGTCTATCATGCTTCACTACGTCCGCTGCGGCAGTCCTCGCACGCCGAAATCATACATATTCGGAAACCGGCGCTGAATATGGTCGTCTCACGGATACATGACATCTTTGGGAGAGAAGGAATACATGCGGACTCTGACGCCGTCCGTCGCCTGTGCGAAGCTACCTGGGGAGTGAGCACCAAGAAAGAGGGTGGCACGGGAAGTGGCACAGGCGAGGGCGACATCCGGGGTGTCATGGTTGTGAGCGAGTGGGTCGCAGGACGATTGCGCGCGGCAAAAGACAACAGTTCCGAATCCCCACGTCTTACTAGACAGTGGGTCGAGGCGAATGTGATTGGAGATCTGAACCATGGCGGCGGAGCTGCTCGTAGCTTGGGACGCGGCGGTACCAAGGATGTTGTTGATCGCGTTTTCCGTGAAGGGGCCGGGTTTCCTAAGCAAGCAGAGGCGAATATTGCTCGGAAAGGCATCCAAGGTGTCATTGGTGTTGCAGAAGCCGCGAAGAAGCTTGCGCTGGAACGGCTCCATGAGATGGTGGATACGAGCGGTGACATCGATCGGATCGTGTCCGGTATGTTTGAACACCTCACGTTTGACGAGGTGCACTGACATATCTCGCAGACTGCTTCGCCGCATACCCTGAAAAGCCATATCAGGACGACACATTTCTATCCAAACCTTGCGCGGTCCACGAATGGCTGTATTTTCACGACATGGTCTCTTCTTCTGTACACCTCTCCCAAGGATGGGAAATGGCGCCGTACCTTGCGCAGTCAGTCCTAGCTTTCCATGATCTTTTCGCTTCACCGCGACAGCAGACTTCGAACCCAACGGCCGACTCTGACGCCGAGCCTACGCCGTTTTCAGGATCCGGGGCAGCATATGCTGCTTCCGAAGCTCGCAAGGCTAACCGAGCTCAATTGATGGCACTACAGTCAACGCTTAGCCTCCCACTAACTCGACTGTTCCGCTCTCCGGAGGAGCTCGCGACCGAACTCCTCCCCTATGTTCTGCGAATGCTTTCTCCGGATGTTAAACCCGTGATAGTCAACACGGGCCCTTCTGGTTCCAAATCCGTAGCCATGGCATCAGTCCGCAAGGCCACAGAAAAAGCATTGGTCAAGAAAGCCGTCGAGGCAATGGCTGCTACCGGAGTACGCTTCGAAAGGAGTAGAGTAGAGTTCGATGATGTCGCCAATCGGAGCGGTGGATGGGTACTTCGTATGGAGCCACCGCTGGATCAGCTTGCTACGTTTGAGACTCTTGGTGGGAAGAAAGATGAAAAGGTTCGGTATGCGGTAAGGAGTGTATTGGAGACAGAGTGGAAAAAGGAAAGCGTGAAGATGAATGCTGAGGCGAGAAAAAGGCGGGGTGGGCAGGTGGATGATGATGTTATTGCAAATGGAGACGCGGCTGAAGACGAGGATGTGAAGAAGGATGCAGGAAAGGAGAAGGTCACAAGAGACTTCTTTGGAAGAGTGATCAAAGCCACGCCGGTGCCTGCAGGGGCGCCGGGCGTGAAGAAGACGGAACTTAAGAGCGGAGACGAGGGGCGGATATGGGTGAGCTTCCATGAGGGCTTTTCAAATGCGGTTAGGAAGCCCTTAACTTTGGATGACTTGATGAGAGGATTATAAGCACCTGCTCCGTTTATGGCATGTTATGAAGCAGCATTACACCTAGCGAGCATACTATTGGAATTATGTAGTCATGTAGTCACATTCTTTTCCCGTCATTGGATGTGCAGCGATCATCCATCAGCCAAAGGCCCCTAGTGACCATCCAGCCTAGTCCAGTGCAGCAAAACCGTCACATTCGCGTCTTCAGGCGCCCCATTCTGGGGCCACAACCCGACATCCTTTGCCGGCTCCGGGATTTCCCTCACTTTATACTGGTAGTTCAAGTTTCCCCACCAAACCCAAGGTTCCCCCCCTTCCGGCTACACATCGTCAGCAACTCCCCTATACAAGTCTCATGTTTGTCATTTCTCCCAAGAGAAGTTACTTACGAGCGAATACCAGCTCTCCGGTTGGCCATTGGTCGGCCCGTTCCCGCACTTCAACGCATAAAAGACTGAACTCGCCGGTCTCCCGGGCTCGCTCGTTTGGTCCAAGAAGCTACACGTCTTCGAGCTGTCCGTGTACGATTTCAAAGGATCGCCCGTTTTACCGCTGAAGGTGAAAAAGCCGCACCCCCAGTAAATGCTTTGGAAGCGGCCTTCGGGCGAGATGCAGCCGATGGTGTCTTTGGGATCGGTGGTTCGAATGTCGCCGGAAAAACGGACTACCATCAGGGCGCCGATGCCCTCGAATCCATTATTGGATTGAGCGTGGGTTGTGACGGTGAGGAAGGGGAGGGTAAGGAGAGGCAGGAGTGCGAGCATTGTGAATACGGGTATCCGGTCAATAGGTCCTGGCGGGGATGAGTTCGAGTGCGTCAGCGGCTTGCTATGCGCAGATTATGCACCTTTATATACCCTAGGTAGGCACACTTTCGTCCGTAGGACGCACAGTGGAATCTCGCACTTGTCCGTTGCATGGAGAGACAGTACACAGTGAGCAACCTATCCGGATGCTTTCCGAATGTTAAATCACGATGTTCCAGTATTTGGAATTTCACTTGGTGTTGGTACAAGTCATGGAATTTCCGCGTAAAAAGTAGTGAACAGCAGACAATAGGCAAAATCCAACAACGATATTCCCTGGCAGAGCACGAAGTTGGTCGAAATCGCGCTCGGCAAATTACTTCAGAGGTAAGGAGTTGCCTTATTAGGTAACTTGTTTTTTTGCCTTAGGAATACCATCTAGTTTTGGTGCGACAATGTTATCATGGGCCACCAGGACATTCCTGGTGAATTGGTAATGGCGACTTGGGAGCCAAAGATACCCTATTAAGCAAACACCCCGAATAGCATCTAGGACCAATCAGAACTTTTGCACGCACGGCTACGGAGATTGTTTTGTTTGGTCGGTTCATGCACCTTCCAAACTAGTTGTTCCTGACAAATATCACGCGGATTAAGCAAGTTGGACAGGCCCGTAAGCGAATGGCAGCGTCGGTGGGGTAAAGAGGTGCGTTTCATCAAAACCAGCACAGTGACAGGAATCTATGGGAGAAGACTTTCTGACTGGAATCGAGTGTAGGGTTGGAACAAGCTTCACAAGCTTTTGTTCGTTTTCCAGGGCAGTGATGGTTCACTTCCTAGCGTGTGTCTAGTGCACATGTAGAAAGGCAAATGAATTACTGGAGTTTAATTCGCGCAATGTCTAGGCAGATTAGGCAGTGACTTGGGTGTATATTTATCACATGCTCAAGTCGCGTGCCTAGGCATCTAAAGAAGGGTGGCATTCAACTCGATTCCTAGCACTGCCACTTGCAGTTTACCCCAAGCAGCCTATAAAACTATCCACTACTCCAACCAAAGCGTTGATATGTCAGCAGGCAATACTGTAGGAATATACCCGAGCGAGTTAGGGCGATCATACGTGGAACACCTACCTCCACATATCACCTTCTCCTTTTCCCTCTAATCACCCTCAGCCGTCAAACTTCTGTATATTCTAGGTCTCCGTTCAGTGCTCACTCCTAGCAGCATTATTCTTCCATGAAAGTGTCCTACTATGAGCAAAATTCCGCGTTTCGTTTCGTTTCGATACTGATAACTCACCTTTCGTGAAAGTCAATTACGTGGGGATTGATGGTCACTTAGCCCATGAAACACGAAGCTTGAGAGGACGTGGCCCCCATCTGGATGGAGCCGTCAGGCGATGAGCAAACAGTCCGAGAACAATATTCATGCTGTCCTAGGCTTACCCCACGGAGGCCGCCACAATCCGTTCTCGACCTTCATAACAGGTATGTAGACAACCGGAGACAGTCGAGAATGCAACAGCCATCCCGAGTGCTATACTGTCGGCATCACCGCAGATTCTAAACCACTTCTGGTTCCACCCTCACCTTAACCGGGATTCTCCTCCATGCTCTTAGAATCTACAATAGGATAAAAACAACCAAGCCATCCGATCCACCGGCACGTCCTTATTGTATTCGTCCCTCAACCTCCGAGTCACAACATCTTACACGGTACATCGGCTGAGGCCTACAACATCGTTGTTTGGACTCGGGAAAATCCCACATTGCGGAGTGTGAGCAAACCTGTACTTGTTGAAAGCGGCAGCTTTTTAAGCTTACAAGGATAAATATCTCGACAGCTAAAACTAAGAAAGTGAGGACGGGTATCCATCAACTTCGGTGAACTATGATGCGCCGAATCTCGAGGTCAACCATAAGTCCTCTTTTGAGGATGGAAGTGCTGATAAAACTTCCAGTCAAAAAAATGGATCAGCTGTAAATGCAGCAGTGTTTTTTATGTAGGATTTGCCGACAGCTAGAGCATAGGACGATGTACTTTTCTGGTCACTGAAATGCATGCTCCCAGAAAGGCCCAATGTTTATTAGGCGTAAGCGTCAAATACACAGTACGACGAAGTCGGCCGCGTCGCTGTTCGTCAATAAATCCGATTGTAACAAAGACACTGTGACAGTCGTAGGCGCTGCGGCTTTTGATTAAAATATTTCGGATAATATTTGTGTAGCAGACGCCCATTCCTGGAGAACGTCCATGTCTCGAGTCGGATCCAGAAGTAGCCTAGCGTGGGTTGAAATCTTGGCAACGCCTCCCCGCGATTCCCACAAATCTTTGACAGCGCAATCACCTCCAAGTCCAGTCACATACACGCCACCACACTATTTCGCTCTGCAGAACCACCGCGGGATCTGGAATCACAGAAATATCCTGTTACATATCCCTAACATACCGCAGCGACACAGAGCGCACAAGAACCTCTGAACCTCCCCCGCCTCTTTCAAAAGAAGCGAGTCACCGTTCCACTTCTACGCAAACCGCGTTACCTGAAATCCCATACCGCCAAGATGTCTCTCACGAATTGTCGGTTTTACGAGGAGAAGTACCCGGAGGTGGAGAGCTTTGTCATGGTCAATGTTAAGCAGATCGCCGAGATGGGAGCATACGTGAAGCTCCTGGAGTACGGTGCGTTACCTGTCTGTTACCATGGCAAAACTAGACTGGGATAATGTTCTCCGTGGCCATTGTTCCTGACTTGATCATTTTCCATGCGCGAAGCCGAGAGACTGGTTCTCGTGCTGACCCTTTCCAGACAACATCGACGGCATGATTCTTCTCTCCGAACTGTCCAGACGTCGTATCAGAAGTATCCAGAAGCTCATTCGCGTTGGGCGCAATGAAGTCGTGGTCGTCCTCAGGGTTGACAAGGACAAGGGCTACATTGATCTGAGCAAGCGCCGAGTGTCGCCAGAGGATATTGTCAAGTGCGAGGAGCGGTACAATAAGTCCAAGATGGTGCATTCAATCATGCGCCACGTCGCTGAGAAGACCAACACCCCCATCGAAGAACTCTACCAACACATCGGATGGCCGTTGAACAAGAAATACGGGCACAGCATCGACGCCTTCAAGCTATCCATCACGAATCCTGACGTCTGGAATGACGTAACCTTCCCTAACGATGTTGTCAAGGAGGAGCTCCTCTCATATATCGGCAAGAGGTTAACGCCGCAACCGACGAAAGTGCGCGCAGACATCGAGGTCACCTGCTTTGGATATGAGGGTATCGATGCCGTGAAGACAGCGCTGCGCCGCGCAGAGGCAAAGAACACGCCCGACAACCACGTAAAGGTCCGACTTGTGTCGCCTCCTCTATACGGTACGCCTAGTTTACTCCAGAATTCCGTGCTGGAGCCAGGCTAACTTTGCAGTGCTCACGTCGCAATGTCTCGACAAGAACCACGGTATTTCCACACTCGAACAAGCCATCAAGGATATCGAATCCAGCATTTCTGAGGCCGGCGGTAGCTGCGTCGTGAAGATGGCGCCCAAAGCGGTCACGGAGAATGACGACGCAGAGCTGGCCGCACTCATGGAGAAGAGAGAGCGCGAGAACCAGGAGGTCAGCGGTGACGAAGACGAGAGCTCAAGTGACGAAGGCGGTGTGGTTGAGGCCGACTCCTAGAAGGGCAAGGCCAGGAGGGTCAATATGCCGATGGCAATACAGGAGGACCGCGAGCACTTGAATGGTGAGGACAAAAGTGCACCTGAAATGGCTTCAGGGCTGGGGATGCAATGAACATGGTTTGACCGCTAGACTAAATGCATGGCTAGAGAAAATACGGTATCGTTGACCCCAGGTTCAAGTTATTTGGTTTATAGCTTATCACGTCTCCATGGTAATGTGTGCATACTCCTCTTCTCTCTGGTAATGTATAGTGTCCAGGCTACGGCGGTTTCGGGACTCCGTGTCCGTGATTGTGGGGATAGATATGAATGGGATGTTGAAACATGGTGTTGAGGCGTATCTGGGTAGTGCTCCGTACGTAGTGGGGGAACATTTGGAATAACCTCGTTTATGTATTTATGTACTGTCGAGATGGAATGGGACGGCGTCTCGGCGGATCTGATGACATCAGGACTGCTTCTTTCGGAAATATTTATCAGTAGATGTACACAGTAGTGTTGCCCCTCCCCCCCTAAATACGATATTCCTGGTTATTTTATATTGCTAGGCAACTGTTTAAAGATATACCCTATGTTAGCAGTGTTAATCGCTATCTTGTACACGAGTTTAAAGTCCTGTTACTAGATAGTAACCCATCTACTATAAATACAAGCATCCTTAACACCTATATTATAAAAGCGTTAGCAATATAATTACTAGTATAATTACTACTAAACTTATATTTAAATGCTGCTACTAGGAAAGCCTTAGCTGCTTCCTAGAGCGCACTAATAGCACCCTTTTAGAAGCAAAAATTATAGGCTTTAGTCTAAACAAAAGGTAGATTAAGGCCCTAGGTAACCTCCCTTATAAAACAAGCAAAAGATATTAGAGGGATTAGCGCTGTAGTAGATTTCTAATAGTAATAAATTTTCTGCAGAGCCCTTACTAGAATCCTATTAGAACTTTTATAAATATTAGTAAAGATAAACTTACTGCCTGCTTTAGCCCTTTTGCTAGGAGCCTTTAGAGGTTCCTTGTAAATCTAAGCTTGCTTAATATAATTAGGATCTTTCTAGCCCCTTGCTTTTATACTTGTCCTAGCATTTTAACTATAAATTATGCAGGCTGCAGCTCTCCTCTTGTCAGATTCTAGGGTGCTGATGGTAGCTGATAGTCGACGATGGAATCGTAGAAGTGAGATATCACGAAGTTCAGTTGATATGATCGTTGATCTCAGAGAGAAGTGATTGATTGATTATAGAGGACAAACCGCTCAGAAGGCTGGTTTTGTCCTCTGTGTACGTTTACATAATGAGCCTATTCTATGAAGTATGCCCATACCTGATTCTACTCTGCTTCGTCAGTCGTCCATCATTGATAGTACTTGACTGTACGATTGATGGCTGTTCCGTCAATCTCCTCTATTATTGATGGTAGTCGGTTGATAGTCATCTTTATTCAGCTTAATAGAAGGTGACGGTTAGTGACTCATTTACTAGATGGTTGTTCCATCTGATACCTCTATACAGCATTTATAGTAGACAGTCTAGCAACTATAATTTATTAGCAAAGGAACAATTACTATAATAATTACTTACCTATGCTTGCGCAATTTAAGCGCTTAGCCTTTAGACTAAAACTCTTTCTAGGATGTTTTCTACTAACAGTTCTGTGAGCAAGACCGCTATTATTAGTAGACTTATAGGGATTAACATTAGAAGAAACAGGCACCTTTTGCATAGAGGATCTAGAGATAGCCTTCCTCCTAGGATTAGCAGCTAGGAGAAGCCTATAACTATTCTGTGCTGCTACTTAGTGCTGCTCTCCTAACTTATCCTTATTAATGCTACTAGAATTCTCATTATTATCTCTAGTACCATCATCTTAGCCTCTTAAAGCCTTTTAAAGTTAATCTTTAAGAGTTAGACTACACAATATTAGAATATATATAATTACTATAATAATTACTATTACTTATAGAGCAGGGTTAAGGTTAACAGGATTTTTAGGCTTAGGATTCTCTGTACTGCTTAATGTTAGAAAGAACAATTACTAGAGCGATTACTATAACTTACTTAATAGGTTGCTAGGTTAGCGCAGTATTAGACAGCCTAGCAGCTAGACTTTAACTCCCTAGCTCTTTATTATTAGACTAATTAATAGCTAAATTGCTTATCTCTTTCTACTTAGTAGGCTTCTTTTAATATAGTACTATATATGCTAGGTAGTAATTGTTGTAGTAATTGTCCTATATTTATGTTAATGTTAATAGATATTGTAAATTGTAGCTCTTTACTTACTTAGCAGTCCTACTCTTACTTTAGAACAGTACAAAGTACAGAATTTTAGTAGAGTTAGCAGGCTTTTAGTATAAATGCAAGTGTTCTAGATTATATAGATAGATAGGCATAATCTGCAACAAAAACTGTCTAGAAATGTGCAATAAAATTTAAAAAACTATGCATAATTGCAAGATATCATAGAGCTAAGTATGTAGAGAAATAAGAAGTAAGAGAGTAAGAGAGAGAGCAGGAGTAAGTAAGATAGCATAATTGATGATCTTCTGTGATTAGTGCGCTTGGCAGGATGGCCCTATTCTAAAAGTGAAAATGAAAATCTCTGGGTAATCGGTGCGGTAATCGTCCTGTAACTGACTGCGTTAAACTGCTATGTTGTTGGTAGAGATAACCTACTGTAGCTATTTACTCACTTAGCAGCCTCACTCTCACTCTCACTTTAGGATTTTAGCAAAATTGTAGGCTTTCGATAGACGTGATCTGCGATGAAAACTGTCTAGAAAAGCACAATAAAACTCGAAATCAGCGGCGTAATTGCGAGACCTTGTAGGACAGAGTATGTAGAGGAGAGAGAGAGTGGGAATGAGTGAGATAGCATAATTAACGATTACCTGCGATGAGTGCACTCGGTTATAGACATAGAACAAAAGAGTAGAGAAGTTGTAGATAGGATTAATTAAAAAGAGTGTTACAGAAGAGTAGCAGAGCCCCTTGCTAGGTTCAGTTTAGATCACTTTAAGGCATGAGACATGGACCTCGACATCGCCAGCAGAAGCATAGCTGAAGTGACAGAAGATAAGATAATAGGATCAATTAAAAAGAGTATCACAGCAGAGCCTTGCTAGTTTAGTTTAGGTTACTTTAAGGTATGAGACACAGACCTCGACCTTGCTAGCAGAAGCCTAGCTGAATAACAGAAGAGAAGTTGTAGATAGGATAGATAGGATAGATAGGATTAAGCAGATTAAAAGGAGTGTTGCAGCAGAGCCTTGCTAGTTTAGTTTAGGTTACTTTAAGGTGTAGAATGCGGACCTCGACCTTGCTAGCAGAAGCCTAGCTAAAATAAGAAATTCCGTAGTGTAATGTATGTAACAGGAATGTAGGAGATAGAGGAGAGGAGAAGGAGTGAAGTACGAAATCTAAGGTGTGCCAAGGAAGGAAGGAAGGAAGGTGTCAGATTTGATGGTATCTGAAGATGTCACGGTGACAGAAAGATTGAATGAAGATAGGTTGACTGATTGTATTCAGGTGTGTGCTTGTGTGGGTGAGGCTAGGACCTGACACCGGTTTTGATATTCCTTCTCTGGGCACCAAGGCTGCGCAGGGCACTAGCCACTGCAGAATCACTAGCCACATGTCCTCAGACAGTACCGGTACAGATAGTTTCTCCCAGTCCTCCTCTCCAGTCTCAGATGGGATATCCATAAACTGGCTTACCATCTGACAGAAGGAGTGGATGTTACTACTACTACTACTACTACTACTATATATGCTTCTACCCTGTGTCTTTTCTAAATTTTCTCTCTTAGGTCCTAATATACTATAGACAATTTAATTAAGAACAGGAAGAAACAAAGTGTCTACTGACGTACTACTTGTTGCCTTTCAAGCACTGTTGGGGCTCAACCAAGTGAAGTGAGTGGACTTAAATGAAGACGACGCAGATAAGAAGGCGCTCCCAGAAAATCGTTCTGTTGGATTGGGCAAAGACATGAGGATCGGATCCGGAATCTCGGTGACGCTGGGCGAGGAAGGGTCAATAAGGACCAAGTCTGCAGAATCCATTGATCCCATTATTTCCCTGGTATGATCGAACGATGAGGTAGGTACGCGGTCAGAGAAGGTAGCCCCGGCTATGTCGCTCAGGTGCTGTCGATCTTCCGTATTTCCGTCATCCTCACTTGATGCGAGGAACCGGCTTGGGATATTCACTGTACGGATGATGGGATTCCACGGAGTCGCTTCAGGACACTTCGCGTCTTTTGTAGACTCAGGATTCATACTGTCCCGGTGAGGCCAAGTAAATCCTTGCATTGTACCCGCGTTGTTCACGGAGTGCTAAGAAAAAGAGCTTTCGCTAGGTAGGAAAGAAGTAGTAAAGCCAACCCTCCACACAGATGAGAATGCGGCTATATATGACTACCGAATGGAAGAGTAAGTGAATACCATATGTACTCATCGGCATGCGATGCAGTTCACTTGAACGCGAGTGATCGCTGACAACGTTGCGTACAGAGCAAGTTCGTTTGTCACACAATCGCGTGGACACAATCGTCACAACTACACGTACTCCAGCAACGATATAGTCATTCAATAATGTGAGATTAGTTACACAAGGTTATGCTGCCTTCCTTCATTTAGGTCTCCATAGTGTTGTGGACAGAGCCACTGTTGCTCAGATCGAGCATATCTCAGTCCCAGTCTGGTTATCGTTAATTCAGCAACGCTCTCCTGTCGCCCACACGCCCGGAAACTCAATGTGTATGGCAAATGGCAGATATTTTAAACGGACAGGAAAACTTCCTTCATATCTTTGCGGTAAATTCCGGTTGCCACTAGGACACTGTTTTTACAGTGCGGTAGCGGTTCAATGCATCAATGTAGTCTAGGTAATCGAGGAGGCAATGGCGAAATGAAAGCTTTATGTTAGCACTCTTGCAAATGAATGAATCGTATACCGTGGAGATTGAAGCTTACGGGGATAGCCACCTGCAACATGGACCGTGAAAACATGCATAATATGATCACGGAGCAAAAGAAAGGATCTGATTGGAATGAATGGTATTGTATGCATGAGCCACTGAGGCCGTGTTACGATGCTGGTCCTATTCTATGACCAAAAAATGCAATGGGAGCCTTTTTAGAGGCTAGGCCATTCCAGCGCCATGAGGCCGTGATGAGAGCCTGAAGAGTTCATCTAGTCGCTTCTGCTCACGCTCCTTGCGTTCGATCATATCCTCTCTGGCGCGAGCCTTCTCCCGAAGGCGCTGCCCGAACTTCGCATCGAGCCAACCAATAGTTTGCTCGCGCCAACCCATGCGATGCCACAGAGCGCCGATGATGAACATGAGAACGACGAAGGGGATGACGGCGCCAACGTACCCCTGGTTCTCTGTGTGGTGAGAGGATATGATGTCGGGGTCTAACATAGCGCCAGCTGTAGAGGTCGCGGAGTTGGTGATTGGAGACATGGTTAGGGGAGTTGTGCCGTTGACAAATAACACTCTGTGCTATTGAACTGAGGCGCACCCTCTGGAAAGGAAGGAGTCAGCTTTTATAGGGTCGCTGTGCACATTGCAGAAACACAACATGTCGCAACCCGAACCTTTACAATATACATCCAGAACTGAACAATGTGCTCCAGCATAGTTGAGCATTCCTGAGGATATTCTGGTAATACATCGGAGAGCACAAATACGAGCAGTTTAACACATGGGACGGTATAAGTTATTCAAAGAACAATCAGATTATATTTTGTCACAAAGCAGATTGGTATAATTCCAGTACGTGCAGGAAAGTATGTATTATATTTGAAAATGAGAGACATCTAGCCAACTCACAAGATGCAAAGTGAGATCCACTTCGACGGAGAATTGAAAGTACTGAACCCTTCATCGCCCCCAACTACCCCCATGGCTTCGCCCAATGTGGGAATATTCGGTGCCAGATTAATGGGCGATATAAGTCCCGGGGTAGGCGACGCGTGGCGGGTATGCCACATTCGAGCCGTCCAGTCCTCGGGCGGCTTCAAGGTCACGGACAGTCGCCCTAGCCTTCGCCCTACCTTTCCTCTTCTGACGGCTGTAGCTGCAGCACCACCCGTGCTTCTTCATCCAGAAGCCCAGGCAGCCCATGAACGCCAGGCCGACCGCAGCTGCAATCAAGCCAACGACGATGCCGAGACCCACTTTCCCGTTGTCGGTTGTTCTCTCTCCTGGTGTCTTGGGGATAGGCTCACTCGATTTTCCAGGGGGCACAGGCACTTGCGGCGTCCACACAGGCTCGGAGGGAACGGGGACCCAGGGAGTTGGGTTCACGAATGTGGCATCTGGTGTCCAGATGCCATCATTCTGCCTCTCGACCATCTGAGTCGCAACCGCATGATTCATAACTGAAGGCCCGATCGTCACGATCTCGGTTTGCGTTACCCATACTGTAGTGTTTCCTCCGGCGGCAACCAGCGCCGCGAAGGAAAGGAACGCGAGAAGAGTGGTAAGCAACATCGTCCTGAGAACCTGCTCAGTGACTTGGTTTGTGCTCCGAGGTTATTGTGAGTGGGTGCTGAATTGAAGTCTAGAATGATCGCCACCAAGTTGTAGTTGTCAACGCTTGTGGGGACGAAATTGATTTGGGAGAGGAACCAGTGCGTATTGACCCTCCTTATATGGTAAACCCGAGGGCACTTCGTTGTGTGTTTGTGTACTATGCGTGTAGCAATCAACTCTCGGTTTGTGTTCGTATAATGCCCGCCACAGGTCAAAGGACATAAAGAAAGAAGCGTGAAGTGTTTTTATATAATGTTGCCATCATCACATATACGATGCAGCATCAAATTGATTGGTCGACCAAACGTGACATGTTGGGGGAAGCTCGGAGGGTTTAAACCAGTAAATATTTGCAGGTGTGCGTTGATTAATATTTTATACCCTTGACGTGGGCGCAGCAGTTCAGGTTCAATTTTCTTCTGCTACCTTATGAGACAGTATTGAAGCGAGAGCCAAGACATGTGGCAGGAACAAGGAAATAATCAGAGATGTTTCATAATATATATTTTGTGCTTGAGTTATGCTATACTACACCTTAGTAGAAGGTGTGAGTTGGAGTCAAATTGTCCAATGCGTTCGGTGGCTTCAGTTCCTCTTCCACCCTGGGGCATTTCCACTGCCTTACCCGAGCACCCCGCCATCATAAAACATTGCATGTGGCCAGCGAGACACGGAAACCGGCAGGCACTTAAGCGTGATGGATTAGCCCCAATGGATGGTACGAGTCGTAGGGTCGTATGTACGGGCAGGTCTTCCAAGGTCGTGGTGTGCGTTCCTATTGATCGAGTTGGCATGTTCCCCAAATCCGTAATGGTGAATTGACCGTTCGCCTCAAAAAGGAGCAGGTTGAGTCCAAGAGTAAGCCAGCGGTGCACCAAATGCGTTATCGTCCGGGACTGGAGTGCTTCCCGTAATCGTGATCTTAGGTATTCGATGTGGTCGTGGCCGATGAGACCAGGCCTCAGCATCACGCTTCTTGTTCTGGTTCCTCCTATTGCGCTTTAGAATGCAGTGCACAACGCCCATGACTATGGCTAGGATGACGATGCAGGGTATAGTAGTGGCAAGGATGATGATAACTTTGGGCGGCAAGTCTGAGGGCGAGACGCCGGGAGTCTGCTTTTCCGTCGCGCGTGGTATCATCGTTAGACAAGAGAGTGAACAAATATGGGAGGGTTTCGGGAAGTCAGTATGTGGCTAGATTATTCTTGCTTGATTGTAATGTTGGTACCGGTGATTATATGGGATTGGTCCTACATTGTGTAAGGCAGGCAGACAAAGAAGTATTGTTCAACTTCAAAGATAGAATGCACAGCTTTGAGCTGAAACAAAGCTTGGAGATATCCATGAGTGGGTAAAGGATAGTGATGGCTCAGACCGTGGCTTGAGCTTCGCCATTAGTGCGAGCATCGGTCACAGCACATTGTTCTCTCCTACACATGTATCGAGCAAGGGGGCTTAGTCCGACTTTCTTACGCATTTCATGCCGTCATGTTATAGAGATAGCTGAAAGATAGGCAATTTATGTAGGTATCCAGTTTTCTTTGCTACCAATGTAGCATTACAGTGTATGCAGGTGTGTTTGTTAATTCAATGGTGGGCGATAAGGCTAAAGGAAATAAAGACAGGTACAAAGCTAAGACGGATTTGGATTGACAAACTATGTGAATGAGTGACTAAGAGCCAAAAATGTCGGTGACGGCAAGGATGTGCCACTAATTGACGAGCCCACCCTTATCTGAGCTCTTCGCACCGCTGCCCCATGGTCCCTCTCCTCATATACTTCGCTGCCGTCCAGTATAGCAATTGGCGTCCAAGCGTCTAGCAAGTCCCGGAGGTTTTTGCGGAAGAGACGAACCTGTTCGCTCCGAAAGTGAAGCATTGGCCGGCACTGGTAACAGTGATGTGGTTCTGGCTGTCGCAAGAGAAGTTGTCATAGAGTGTCACTGGAAGGAATTAGCCAGTGGTACTAAGTGATGATATGTTTACTTACCAGTGCAGCCAGCAGGGAGTGCAGCAAGGTTCTCGGTGTTAATGAGCACACTGTTGGTGTTTGCAGTCAGGATCGCCGTAGTAGGAAAGCAGCTGCCGTCGGTAGGGATATTGGCGATAGACGAAGCTGGTCCGTTGTTGCAGCCCGGAGAATCATAGATGCTCAGGGGAATGGAAGTGAGACGAGGAGCGAGCTCGGCTGGCGCCGCGTTGATGCCAGTAGCGGCGACGGCAATGGAAGCAATGATGGAGGCCTTCATTTTGTGCAGTGAAGCTAAAAGGCGATAAGGGTTATGGAAGGAGGAGGCAAATTGCTGTTGTTGATGGATTGGGATGTGAAGTGTGCTGTTTGTTGAGAGGTACCCTACAATCTCTTGGGCCTTATATACCTCGAAGGGGCGGGGAAAACGGATGGTGCATCCGACTACGATGATTCTGAACCTTCCATCTGTCTTGGAGCTCTTTCCCAGTGTTGGGAAGACCGTGAGTGGTAGTGGGACCGCTAATGCGAGGCTGTCTTCCGTTACCTACAATGACTGGATGGCACTGAGGCGACAGTGCTATGATGTTAGCGTCTGTGTGATTAACTTCTGGCCAGAATCCGTCAACATCATGGTAGTGGAGGCGATTGGCTGCCCGCCACCCCAGCTTGAGGTTGATACCTGTTGGCTGAGGGGAAGAGGCAGACAATACCGGAGAATTGGTTGGAGCCGCGTAGAGAGCATGAAGCAACAACCTATCGCTCGTTGGTAAGAGGGACCGTCCGGTCTGCCACGTTGAAGGCGAGAAGGCTGGTGTGACATTTTTTTCCCAACTTTTTTCTGCCACATTCCTTAAGAGATTCCTGCGCTTTGAAGTTGCCATCCTGTATATCTTACAAGAGGAATTGAACAGATAGCAGAGAACAGAAGTTAACAGCATGTCAGGGCTGCTACAGCGTTGACCCTAACTCTGGGCTCACTGTACTTTGCCTAGTATCCTGAACCAGAGAGGCTAAAGCCTTGTAATGCGGCTTCTCGCCACCGGAGAGCACCTAAACACGCGTATTTGGTCTAGGGTAGCGTGTTTCCCTTTCAAGAATCAACATGAAGGAATGGGAATGCGAGGTTAGGCCATGTGCATCGAGCTCGCTTGTGATAATCATCCTCGCGTAACACAGGTTTTTGATCCGAACTGCAGGTGCTCTGAGTGACCTTGCATAATCCCTGGCAAGTCTGTATATGTGGCTTGATATGACCGGGTGTTTCGAAGGTCATTACGACCGGCTACACACCATAATGCCACTCATTTGCCAGAGTCACCCTGGGCAGACAAGAGTCCAGGAATCAATAGCAGAATCGTCAGAACTACGAGGTCCAACATTAGTCTACTGTGTAACGCAATCTTGCCAAAAGCGCCCATGTCATCGGGTATGCTGTCGAGGCGGTGTTCTCGCCGGCGAGTCGCCACTGACGTCGGTCCTCTGATCAAGGGGCTCTAACATTGTCAAGAATTCCGTCACTTGCGAAGAGACGAATCTGTGAGCAAGTCATTAAATGCTGTCACGCTTGATGCAATCGCGATGTTTGCAATTAGTGGTCTTTTTACACAGTAGGATGCAGGTGCAGAGAGGACTCCCGTCATGGTCTATCGGGGCGAACTGGGCTAACAGCGGGTCGCGGGTCGTGCCGTCAGACTCGTTCACGGGAAGCCTTCACGGCAAGGAATGCTTGATTCATGGAACAGACATAGGCAAGTCTGGAAACATCGCTCGGCTAACCCCCGTGTGGCATGCGGTGTGAACATGCGGTGTTAAGTACAGACCATCTTACTCCACGTGCAGCTAGATACCCATGCAAAGCTGCGCGTAACGCAAGCCGGGCGCCATAATCGTGGAAACTCTCGTATAAATACTCGGGTCCAGCAAGGGCACAACTAGCTAAGGAAAGAAAATGGGGTCTTGGCTATAGCCCACTCTAGACTGCGATGTTAGGATATCATCGGCTATAATAACAATACTCGAATTTACTTGATGTCATATGGAAGCTACTTTTGTCTACGCAGTGTGTTGGTGGGCTGGAGATTGGGTGGCAAACAGAGTCCGGTGCTAGAGCAGGATGTAGCCGATGACAGCACCGATGGCAGGAGTGGGTCTACAGCGTGGATGCTGAGGAAAGGTACGTGTGCACCATTCGTAAGGACAACGAGAGCCGCGTACACTGGAGCTGTAGGATCGCGACGGCTGAGTTAAAGTTTGACTGCACTGCTTCCATACTGCAGCGCAACATCAACAGCTGTGGCAATAGTGATTATCGCGGGCCGTGACCCGGAGGAAAGCAAACTGACGCCTCTGTTTTGGTTCTTTGACGAGGGCAGCCACCGTGCTCTGGGGAGGGCCATTCCACTGAATGGAAGGATACATTCACGGGTAACTTGACATCATGGTATTGACCAGCCCACACTCATCCCTTCGTCCACACGCCAAATGCCGAAAGGTGTGACATACTAAGTCGCTCACAATGAACAATCGGCACTCCGCAATGGCAGTGTAGTTTCCCGATATAAGTAGATGGCACCGTTCATACACCATTTCTTACCCAATCGTTTTTCAGAAGCTGAAACCCATCATTATTTCGGTCGAGAACATAAGTAAGCCATAGCCACATCCTGCATCCACAGCGGATAGTTCCTCATTCCAACGAGTCTATTCATCGACTCTTCAATACATCATGCGGCTATTAATCAGTAGAGTCCGTGCCAAGAACCATGGGAGGCTCCTTCGACTGTACACAGCAGATCGGTGAGACGGTGTGTCCGCAGCAGGCATATTGAACAATGCCGTGTAACAGTATATATGCGAAATATCTTTATGTTCAGAAAAGTGAGGAGAGGAGGAGGAGGAATCCATGACAGCTTAGTAATGATTGAAGCTAGTCCTTACAGAGCCTAGCCCGATTCCCTCTGGTTGTGGAAACCACTTCTGCAAGTTGCCGGCTACGTGCATCAAACAAACACTCGTTTCATTGGATCCATCAACATGGCGTCGAATTTGAGATCTCCAGTCTCAAGAAGAACTGTTTCTCTCATCAGACATGCCTGGGGCCCTCGCATATGTTTACACGCACCACGGGCACGCGAGAGCTTAGTAGCATGGCAGTATCAGACCCGTTACAGGCATACCACACCCACACAACCTAAAGATTCCATCCCAGAACAGCGCTTACCAGAGGGTTCGACAAAATCGTCGCAGTATGTGGAAACTCAACATGGGCACCCGGAAAGCGAAGTCCCTCTCAACTACTACCAGTTCGTTCCTCGAAAAACGAGATATCTCCGCCCAGCCATCTTTTCCATAGGACTGTCCGCTGGGCTATTTGCCCTCCTCTCCTATCTGGACGCTCGCGCACAGGTTGAGCATGAGAAAAAGCCACGCGTGCATATCAAGCCGTACTATCGGCCTGGCGAGGTGACGACACCCACCGAAGTCTTGTCTCGCACCTGGGAGTACCTGCATCCCGTCTCCAAGATGACTGCGGGCATAATCGGAACAAACGTTGGCGTACACCTTGCTACCACTCTTCTCCCTAGTTTTCGATCGGTGTTGGCGCACACGCCTGCGCTTAATCAGAATTATTCGCTGTTTACTTCGATCTTTGCGCATTCTGGAGCTTTCCACCTTGGCATCAACATGTATGCTTGCTATATGTTCATGCCACCTGTTGCGGTGTCGCGAGCTTTTGAAGGCGACCCTTACCACGTGCTAAGCTTCTTTCTTTCTACGGGCGTTCTCAGTTCGTACGCTCAACATTTCAGCACAATCTTCTCGGATCCAGCCAAGGCATTGAGGGCTGGCAAGGTGCCAGAGACGATGATTCCTTCTCTGGGAGCCAGTGGAGCTTTGTTTGGACTTCTCGCCGTATTCGCTATGCAGTATCCGGATGCCGGACTTGGGATAATGTTCCTTCCCTTCTCAATTGCCGCGAAGAATATGCTGCCCATGGTGATGGCTTTCGATGCCTATGGAGCAGTTCGAGGATATCCTGGATTACACTTGGGCCATGCCGTAAGTATAAGCGGGGCCTTGTCGCTTGGTTTGCTAACATGGGCAGGCACACTTGGGAGGCGCACTGATGGGGGTAGCGTACTCTTATTTGGACGGCAAGGACAGGTTATGGAAACCGCTTGTCCGATTCTGGAAGCGTCGTCTGCAGTAACAGCAGCATTATCTGGGCGAAGTCTAGCAGCAGCCCTTGGACAATGGAATCGAATATTAATCCGGGCGGCAATCGATGTTCTTTCCTTATCTCTCTGTACCATTGCTCTCTTCAGTGCATGGAGCACAGCTTTGGCGTCTAGCTATAGCAATCTGTTTGGATGCCGGAGTCTCGGCTTCTCGGTGTCGGGAATTAGAATATACCACCACGCAGTTCAACCTTTGGCAAGCGACAAAACTTATCTGATGTATTTGCAGCTCATCGGATTTCGCTGCCTTTGCGGATCAGACGGAATAGGGCAAGATATCCCTTGCATTTCGCTTGTGGCAAATTGTAACCGGCGCCACACTTCTAGGCTTCCTGAACGGTCACGAACATCAGGGCATCACTGCGCTTGTGAATGCTCCCACTGTTGCAGCCAGTTGTTTTCGTTATAAGGCGCCAATACTAACTGCAACGAGGCAGTGAAAGACAGGGACCGTCAAATGGCTGCCTAGGGCACAGGTGGAATTAATATCCGAACCGGTACTTTGAACTACCCTAGGGTATTACCCCACGGCCTCGAACTTCAACCTAACCTCACCTCACCACATCACCCACCCCCAGATGGGTAACTTCTTCACTCGATACGATGCAAAAGTGCACTCCTGCACACCTAATGGGCCGCCTGCACCTTACCGATCAGCCCCCGGTCCAGGCTTCAGATTCAGATACAACGTCCCTCGCAAGGAGCTCCACTGTTCCAGCGACGACCCAAGCTCTCAGCGCAAGATCCCACATCAAGCACCAAAAAGCCATGCCGCAGATCCATCCAAAGCCAGCTTCCTCGACCTTCCTCCTGAACTCAGAAATAGAATCTACGCGCAGCTCTTCATCCTCCCAGACAACTACATCCGTCTCACGCGGGAGAACCGTACCAACGTGCCAAGCCTCACCCTCCTGCGCACGTGCAAGCAGATCCACGATGAAGCCGCGAGTGTGTTCTATGCCGGAAATTCGTTTTATGTCGCGGTGGAGCGTTTCTTAGTGTTGCATTCGTATAGAATGGACTCACAACCCGAGATCGATTCTCAGGGTGGGACTGATGTTCACCCCAAGGTCGAACCTGATAATCCGTCTCAATCTGATACCGCAGTATGGCAGTATAAGTGGGAGTATCGCAAGTCACCCGTCTTCAAGGAGCCGCTTGCGAAAGCACAGCGCTGCGGGTTGGATTCAGTGAACGGGGGTATTCAGATTGCAAATGACTTTGCGACACGGCAACTCATCGAGGACCTCAACGTGCCGGCATTGCGTTACCATCGATGGCTGACGAGGCTAACGATCGACCTGATGCTTTGCATTCAAGTCAAAGCGCCAGCAGTGGATGAATATACCTTTGTCCCCGCATATCTACGAGAGTATCATCCTAAACGCGCCGAGATGGACGCTATAGAAGACGGCCTATGCGCCAAGGAGGTCGACATGCAGGAACAGCTCAGCACTCTGTTCTGCCAGATGTTCGAAAACATGCGGGGGGAATGGACCGGAAAGGACACAGGCTGGGACGGAAGGACCATCATCGACGCAGATATGATACAGGGGTTGCATCATGCGGCCACCAATCGTGCCATGCGAGTTATGGTCAGTTTCGCGGAAAGAGAGGAGCAGGAGCGCATGACGAAGGGGTATTGGAAAAATTTTGTTGCCGAGCTAGGTTAATGGAAATGTTCACATGAGTTTATGACGGATTTGACGAGAGATCTCTGGGAGTATGTCCAGATATTCGTAAGAGACCTCAGTTTAAGAAGTATACTACTCAACAACTTCTCTGTAAATCTTGCTGTAGCGGATAGTGCACAGCCATCCTCGGTAGGATTTCGATGACTGTGGCTGTTACAAGGAAGCCATTGATTCGCTGGACTGGTAGTGGTGCTAACCTTCACCCGACGCTTGAATAAATGTGATAGGTTCTTAGAGTGTGACCTATTGTGCTTTGAGTGGATTGAGATATACACTTTAAAGGGACTTTCTACAACGGCGTCTCCAAACAGTATCACTCAACGCAACTTCCACTCGTCGTTGCGGTGTATTGCAGGGTGCGGGTATAGAAAGCGCAATGGTGACGCAAGTGTAGAGAACATCTACCTGGGCACTTTGGATTTTCCATCGCTTGGACATCATCACCTATTGGGATTTCCTATACGAGGTTTCGCAACTCCAACCTTCATTCATGGCATCGAATAGCAGCCATGCGTCCTTCACGACGGTTTTCATTCGTTCTCTTATGTCCGCTGGTCACAGGCGTCATCACAGTCCCCACTCGCGTTCGCGTCATTGGTATCGAAAACGCAGCTGACGCCGTAATCTCGAATCCCCTCGACCCATCCTTTGCCGGCTTTGGTATCGAATCGAGCAACCTGTTCGACTTTACTGGTCATGAAGAACCAAACAGGTTCTCCCTCCAGCTCCTCCAGAACCTTGCCGAGTTCTCCGGTAGACCCCCGTATATTCGCGTCGGAGGCAATACGCAGGACTACATGTTATATGACAAGAACCATAGCGCATGGCACTGGATCAATAATCCCTCCTGCAAGGGTCGGGGAACAGTTCCTTCGGACTCAATGGTCATTGGACCTAGGTTCTTCGAGTCGCTCGATCGCCTTCCGTCGGGGACACCACTTACGTTAGGGCTGAATCTGGGTTACGTGGGCACTGACTATGAGGACAAGCTCGTTGAATTCGCGGCCGCAGCCGTAAACAGTCTGAAGAACGTTATGCTCAGGTCATTTGAAATCGGGAACGAGCCGGATCTGTACCTCCAAAATCAATTACGCGCGGGAGCGTGGGCAGGGGACACCTACACTTCGGAGTTCCTTCACCGTGCCAAACTCCTGTATGAAAAGGTTCTCGAACCGGCTGGTTTGCCGTCGCAGTTCTTCGAGCCGCCTTCTTCTGCTTCCACAATTGGCAACACGTTTGAAATTTTATCATTGGCAAAGGCCGGACTTCTAGGCACGTATGATGGGAGGGAATATGTGGCATCCTGGAATCAGCATAACTATTTCTACTGTGAGTATTCTCGCCGGAAACATAGAACCAGCTAATGTTGTATAGTTATCGGAGTTAGCAAAGGGAATATTACAATCGACAGGCTACTGAACCTGGATGCTACCGATGAGCAATTTGCTTACTGGAAGAAGCAAGTCGCAATCGCAATTGATCAAGGCCGACCGTATGCACTTCGCGAAATGAGCTGTGTCGGACCCCTTGGCCTCCATGGGGTCAGCGACACTTTCGCATCGGCTTTGTGGGCGTTCAACTTCTTGCTTTATGCAGCCACTCTTAACATTTCCAGCGTCCAGATGCATGTAACGGACAACTCGTACGCAGCAGCCTGGAAGCCGACCGACCTCGATGGTGTTGCTCCGCATGTTCGACCCCAGTATTATGCTCATGCTGCTATGGCCCAGATAATCGGCAGTGGAAATGGGACCACGCAGATTGGTGCTATCAATCTGGAAGACATACCTGAGCAGTACAAAGGCTACATCCGAGCATACTCCGTATACTGCAGCAGTGTTCTTTCATCCATCATCCTAATCAATTCGAAGCCTGCGATGGAGTCTGAGGATAATAAGGCAAACTTCATCTTCGACATTCAGTGGGGAGATGGCTCTGAAAGGACTAAGAAAAAAGTCCTCGTCTCCTACCTAACGGCCCCTGGCGCAGACTCATTCACTGGAGTCGTCTTTAACGGCATGTCTTTCTCCGACATTGACGGAACAAGGATCGACGTGGACGATACGGTTCAAATGATGACGACCAATGAAGATGGCGTGACGAGATTCCAGCTTCGTGACTCCGCAGCCGCCGTTCTGAGAATGGACAATGTCCGGTTAGGGACCGAGCCTGTGGCGACCAGCCCCCCGAAATTTACCATGGCGCCAAAGGGAACGAAGAGCTCGTCGTCCACGTCCTCTATTGAGAGCTCGTCTACGTCTTCTGTGCGAGCGGCAACTTCAGCGGCCGTCGTAGGTACGGGTCCGATGGTGGTAATTCTGGTTATATGCAGGAGTCTTTGCTGGCAAGGACTGGCGGCAGCCCTGGTGGCTTCTATTGTCGGTGACGTCTTTGGTATATTGTGAATGGCCGCGTTCATGGTAGTGTGCACTCGACAATGGTGATTGATTCGTCCTGAGGTGGTTGAATGGAACAAATGATAGAGAGGTTTGAAATTGTTTACTACAACTCTATTTATATCCTATTTTGAGGTAAGATAGCTTGCCTGGAAAACAAGGCGCGCGCCCTTATGTACCACAGTAGGTGCTCCGGAATACTTTTGTGGGTGCTCCCTTAACGCCTGCCAGGTCATGCACTCTACTGTTATCCATCAAAACTCGGACCAATGACGAAACTTCAACTGCCTTGAAATGCCGCAGGGTGTTGACTAATCATAGATTTCTGGTCGGCGGATGGACTTCCGTAACGCCGTCGTACATATTTATCATCCACTGAGAGACACTATCTGTTCGCCACGGCGGAAAATCACGGAACAGGAAAACAAAACAGGGTGATGGCTGACGGAAGCACCATTGTATGCAGTATATGCTGAGCGATGATCGCCAAGCCAGGGTCGGTCGTTATATACATCCAATTGCCCAGGGAGCAGCTATGACGCCTTATCAACAACATCTAAACTTTCCATCTCTTCCCTGTTCATTCATAAAGTGACATTCGGAGTAGTACCAACGCCACCTACGCACTCGTGGCGTAAGAAGTGATCTTCTCAACATTGACTCGAAATTCAAAATCTACGAAGACAGGGACGTCCGACTGATCCATGAGTGAGTTCCTATGGCCAAATTCAAGATTTCAAGTCTTCGCACTGTGCGACAATGGCCTACGCTTACGAAGGACAACCGCGTTTCGTTCTTCAGCAACGACTGGAAGAGCTCACGTCCCAAATTCGTTCGCCCGGTCATAGGCGGAGGGGTCATGTTCATGCTGTTGTTCCTTGGGGCATGCTCCTACTTCTACGGCACGCTTTATCACTCCAACTATCGGTACGATAACTTCAGGGTCCTTGCTGTTGACTACGATGGGGGCGTCATCGGACGGTCTCTGCAGGCTGCATACCAGCAACTCGAAGGGCCACACTTCTTCAATCTTGAGTTCCGTTCACCAAGCGAGTATCCTTCTGACGACAACGTGCTTCACGCCGTTTGGGAAGGGAAATACTGGGCTGCGATATTCGCCACTGAAGGCGCCTCGGAACGATTGGGAGCTGCCATTCAGGGTGATAATGCCGACAGGTACAACCCGGCAGAAGCTCTGCATTACATCTGGAATGGACAATACTATCCTGTATTTTCGACCTCCGTGGTCAAAGCAAATATACAGACTCTAGTCGCCGCCACACGCATCGCATACAACCGAATCAACGGGACTGGAGCGTCCGCGATGCTCGATCAGCGGAACCCGGCCGCCGTACAAGCACTGCTAAATCCCATAGCAGCAACAGAGAGAAACATCAAAGATGCCTCATACAGCGCAGCGGTTTTATATGGGACAATCGGTTCCGTCACGCCCGTTTTGTCCCAATTTTTCTTCCTTCTCCTGCTCAACGGCATGTTCCTGGAGTATCAACTTTACACTCAGGTGACAGTGGGTTCAAGCCTGGTGGTCCGTCTCGGTGCAGGCATTTTCTATTCCCTCGGATCCGCGCTCGTTCAAGCGGGCTACTGGTGGGCGTTCGGGGAAGACTGGGACGTCAATGGAGCTCAATTCATCCTGACATGGTTGGTCCTCTGGGTCCTCATGATGGACCACCAGCTCCTTCTGGAGACGGCGTTCCTGCTCGTGCCCCTGCCGGCTACGCCGTTCATCATGTTGATATGGATGTTCATGAACATTCCGAGTACGTTGAGTCCGCTGGAGCTGCAAGCTGGATTCTTCCATTGGGCCATGGCTATTCCTGGATATAACGCATATGCTACGCTGGTTACCATCTGGACCGGGGGAGCTCGCAATCGACTATATCGGACGTTGCCTATCTTGTTTGCATGGCTTGTTGCAGGGCTTATTGGGACTACTTTGGCACACTGGCGAGCGTGCCACTTGGCTTTCAAGCGGCAAAGGGTGGATGTATTAGAAAGGAGAGACGACAAGAGCGGGGAAGCCGGCCAGCCAGCAGAAGGAGTCATGGTTTCCAATCAGCCGGCTGTGTAGTAGAGTTAGGTACATCTGCAACCTGCAAGCGTGCATATAGCTGAGAGCACTTGGACAGATCGAGGATATCGCAATATACCCTGGAACAGCCCAATCAATTCCTGCTCGACTGCAACATCATGCATATTTGGGAGCAATACTGAGTTCGTTGAGGTAGCCCTCGCAAGACGGGGGTGCTGTCTGAAGATGAGGTGAGGGCTACGTGAAGAAGCACTTGGTGGAATATAAGCAGCTCAGGTGTGGGGTGAGATTTATGGATGAATTCGCTAAGAACGCAGTTGGCAAGATTCTGGGGAGAGAGTTGAGAAATAGGGGAAAAGGCTAAAGAGGGCGCCAGTGCTAAGAGATGGGCTACGTCATGTTGAAGCGTCCAGTATGATTCACATGCTACGTTATGTCGCTTGATGTGGTACGGCTCGCTTGTTGTACGGTCTTATATCTCCTCCGCAGATAGACGAATACTGAATGAAGGACTTTGTGAAAGTCTACATACGAGATAGTATCTATCTTAGGCTGTCCCACATTTTTTGCCAGCCAACCTCTCCCCCTCCATCTTCTTCCATCAACCATTGTCCCCAGACCCATTTATCTCGGCCCTTCCCGCCTCGCTTACATCCCGACCTCAACGGCGCAACCAAAACGGGGTAGTGCACGAGTAGCACCGCCCTACGAATCCGATACTGATTTGCACGTGCTTTCTGTGTAGCTCGACAGTTGAAACCTCAACTTTGCGTCATATACTGATCACTTAGCTGAGGGCGACCGCTCACTCCCGTCTCCTCCACGCTGTAGCGCGGCCCATTCCACGAACTACTGTGTTAGTGAATGACATATATGGTCCGGCTGTCCACTAACGGGCGGCTCCAGGGGGCAGTTCTGGTACCGTCAAGTTGTGATCCACGGCCAGCAATATTATCCCCGTGCAAAGTATGACGGAATGCCTAAAAATTGGCACGTTTCCAAATCACTCGTGGAGATGTGTCGGTGGTGATATGGCAGTGAGTAAGGAGACGGAAAGAGTAGACTGACCTCGTCGCATATCGTTCTGGACGGCACTTATCGAAGATGTGAACTTCTTTTTCAGGAGACGTCACTCCGACCGTCGTGACTAGTAGCGGGCAGGCTAGGAGTAGGCCCGAGAAGGTATCCGATCCGACGACTCTCATCATCATTCAGAACACCAACACCACTCAACATTCCACTCGCCCACGCCTCCACACAACCACAACACCCAACTCTCAACTAACCCACGGACGCCACCTTGCCACTCGCTCACAAAACATGCCTGCAAACACCCAGAACCACCTCGCGAGACTGTCTCGTCTCGCCCACATCCTCCAGTCCAAGACCAAGTCCTCGATGCGGAAGCTCTTGCCCCCCAAGCCGTTCCGCAAGAACTCCATCATAAGATCCGCGCCCAGGCCATCGAGTCGGCGCTGAATGCCATCGAGTCTGCACACAAAGGCCATGTCAACGACCCGGTCGTCACGGTCGCGGAAGTACCTAGGATGTTCTCGTCGACATCGACTTCATCATCAGCATCGTCGTCGTCATCGTCATCATCATCATCGCCCCTTACGTCTCGGAAACCAGTCTTCTGGTTCGAGCACCCTTCTCTCCAGCACGAACTAGATCGCGAAATGCCGACGACGGACGATGACAGCTCCACGGTTCATTCCTTCTCTGGTTTCTCTGGTGTGTGGGTTAATGAGGAGTAGATGCTTGCTGCATCCGCGGTGGGAATCATGTATGGTTTGTTGAGGGGTTATTGATGTATTGTCAAGACGGTTCGAAATTCTAGATTGTTTTGGTAGGGAGTTGGGAAGCTTCTGGTTAGCATGGCGCATGGAGGCTGTCACCTCGATTTAGCACTGGAGTTGGTAAATAGGATGTTTTTCACGTTTCTGAATGGCGTACATGCGGAATGATACCCCTGGGAACAATCTCGGTTTCACATTTGGATGCAAAGGCAACAATAATACCTATGTACAAAATACAACCTTACTTCTACAACCCCCCCCCCTTCCTTCCTCCGTATCGGTATCAGCATCTATGTATCCGATTACGAGTCTCCAACGCGATACTCCCCAGCGCTTCCACATGGAGACCTAGTACTCTCGCTGGCAAATCGCTCAGTGGTGCGGTTTACCTACGCAAAGTGCATAGACTGTAGGCCTACCTCCTGAAATTGTGCCCTCCCATCAACCCTCTCTTCAACCTTTCCCTATCATCCATTCAGTGCCATGCACCTGTACCGACCTTAACCTCCCAACCTAAAAGAACACTCGTGTCACGCAACATATATAGCAACTCGAAATACCCATCAAGGACGATAAGTACTGCATCGCACCTTATACAAACCCCCCATCTCTCTCCATCCGCACTACTCCGAATCAAACCCTAGGTGAGAAACTCCTCGCGCTCCTCACCAATCCCCGCAGGTCTCTGGATCCATCATAAGGTTCAGTAAAAATGTCCCAATCTCGCCTCTCGACCTGACGAGCACATACTCCGAAGCTGCACGCACGGAAAATATATAAAGTAGACGTGAATACACCTAGAATGGACTACATACCCAACCGACTCGACCAAAACTGAAAACAATGCGATATTCACAAACATAAGCAAACCCACAACAGATAAGAAAATGCAGCCATAACCGCGTCGCTCTACCCCCAAAAATACCCGCGCTCAAACACCACCGCAATGCAAACATCCCAATCTCACTCATACATGCCAGCTAAACAACCTTGATTCAGTCAAAAAGAGTGCCTCTACAACCGACTCTCAACATGCAACCCATGCCCCTCCCACCTCTCCGGCCACACCTTGGCCAACCCCTCCCAAATACTACTCACAAACTCGATACGCAAACCCGCCAGCACCTCCTCGGGCAAATCCCTGACATCCTTCTTGTTCCCGTCAGGAAGCAACACGCGGTCGACGCCAGCTCGGAGAGCGCCAATCAGTTTCTCCTTGATCCCCCCGACGGGCAGCACTCGGCCCCTGAGACTGACCTCGCCCGTCATGGCGAGCGTAGGCGGAACAGGCTTGCCCGAGAAGAGCGACACGAGGGCGATGGTATGCGCGAGGCCCGCCGAAGGGCCGTCCTTGGGGATGGCGCCCGAGGGGCAGTGGACGTGGATGCTGCGGTTCTTCATCATGTCTTCGTCTTCCGAGGCCGTCAAGCCGAGCTCGAACGCGTGCGCCTTTACCCACGTCAGCGCGACTTCGACGCTCTCCTTGAGCACGTCGCCGAGTTTGCCGGTCAGCTGTACTCGGCCGGTGCCGGGCATGTCTGCAATCTCGATGAAGAGGATGGAGCCTTGGCCGCCGGTGGAGTAGGCGACCAGACCTGTGACGACGCCCGGCTTGGAGTGCTGCTCAGTGAGCTCCTCGGTGAATTTCTCTATGCCGAGGATGGCGTCTAGATCGCTCAGCGTGACGGTAGGGTTGTATTGCGACAGAGTCGAGTTGTCCTTTGCTGTCGCGTACTCGACAGCTTTGAACCGGCAGACCGATCCGATTTCGCGCTCTAGATTGCGTACACCAGATTCGCGCGTGTATGAAGTGATAATCTTGTCGAGCACTTCGGTGGGGATGCTAATGTTCTCCGGATGCAAACCGTTGGTGGTGATTTGCTTGGGAATGAGGTGTCGGGATGCTATGTGGCGCTTCTCGAGCGTCGTGTAGCCGGAGAGCTGGATAGTCTCCATACGATCCAGGAGCGGTGGCGGAATGGTATCGAGCGAATTGGCTGTGGCAATGAAGAGTACCTTGGACAGGTCAACGGGAACATTAAGATAATGATCCGTGAACGTGTGGTTCTGTTCCGGGTCCAAGACCTCCAGCATGGCGGCGCTCGGGTCACCATTGTAATTGGCCATGCCGAGCTTGTCAATCTCATCGAGTAGAAAGACTGGGTTGTTGACGCCCACCTTCTTGAGACCATTGACAATGAGTCCCGGCATCGCGGCGACATATGTCCGACGGTGGCCCCGTATCTCAGCCTCATCCCGAACACCGCCAAGTGAAATGCGATGGAACTTGCGCCCAAGCGCTGTCGCAATGGACTTTGCAAGCGAAGTCTTGCCTGTTCCGGGAGGCCCAACAAGGAGAAGGATGGGCGACTTGTCGACCATACGCTTCTTCTCGAGCAGCCGTAGCTCGGCCTCGCTGGGTTCCCGTACGATAACCTGTTTATCATCCTGAGAAGCTTGCTCCTTCTCTTCCTTTTCTTCTGTGGGCGTGGTGGACTTCGTCAGAGCCTTGATCTGTTCGTCGATATCCTTATTGGCTTGCTCCTTTAGTTTCAGTACCGCCAGATACTCCAAGAGCCTCTTCTTAATCTTGTCCAGCCCATAATGATCATCATCGAGCTGCTTCTTGGCACGCGTCAACGTCTTGCCATCAAGCAGGTCAACTGTAGACTTCGCCCAGGGGATCTCAGCCAGAGTCTCAAGGTAGTTGCGGATGACGCTATACTCTGCCTGAGCGGGGTTCATCTTCTGCAACCTCTGCAAGTCTCTCTGTGCCACCTTCTCGGCATCAGGAGGCAGTTTGGCATCCTGCAGCTTCCTCTTGAGTTCCTCCAACTCGTTCGTCTCGTCCTCCCCTTGCGCATTCTGGCCAGGGGGAGCTCCAAAGGGGGACATACTGTTGCCGCCTACGATAGCCCCCTTCCTGAACTGCTCCTGCTGGCGCCTGATGAGCTCGCCGACTCGGTCTCTCATACTGTCTGAAGGTACAGAGTTGCTCGTCACAGATATGCGCGTGCTTTCGTATACACTGTTGATCTGTCGCTTCAATATCTCAACCACCCTGTCAACTCTGTCTTTGGCGTCGAATGACGCCAGAACACGCAGCTTCTCTACGTGTGTGCAATCCACGACATTCGCCATGAAATCTGCTAATGTTCCAGCTTCCGAAAGCTCCTTGCGGGCGATATATAGTTCGAGGCGGCGAGCGACGATCGGCGACAGCGAAACCATCTGTGCACGGGGAACCATCGAGGAAAGGCGTACAAGCGCGAGAAGCTCCCGAGAGAGCTGTTTGAGGAGGTTGAACTGCTCAGCGAATTCTGGATTGCCAACGTCGACTGTAAATGTTAGCTTCGATCCTAGCTTGGAATCATAGGTAGGTTCCTCGGCAAGCTGTACGTACTGTGTTCATCCACGCTCTTCAACTCTCCCTCAAAATACGGCCTTTCCTGCAGTACATCGACCACCTGCACCCGCTCCAGGCCCTCAACAATGAGACTCACCTCCCCCTGTCTCCGCCCCGTCACCCCACTGACCTTTGCCACGCAGCCATACGCAAATATATCCTTCTTCGTCGCATTCACGGGATCCACTTCGAACACCGTCTTCGCCTTGCCACCCTTCTTCCCCGCACCCTCTTCAATCAACAGCTTCCCATCTCGTCCGAGCTGGTTCGAGCACAGAGGCACGCAGGCTACCGTGATGGCGGCATCGGGCTTCGCCGTGGCGCTTATGGAGTATATCTTTGCGAGGATAGCGGCGACGTCGGGGCGGTTTGTGATGGGGATCTTGAGGGTCGTGCCTGGGAGGACGGCGAGGGGTGGGGCCAGGGGGATGAGAGGGAGCACCTTGGTGGCTTTCGATGATGACTTGCCCATCTCGGCCGTTCGAGGTCGTGTAGCTGGTCGGCGGAATCGCAGATAGGATAGGCGTCAAGTGAGTAGTTGGAAGGTGTGGAGGTGGATGTCCCGCTGCACTGATGCGTGCGGATCCGGGTTGTGTAACAGTGGTGGGTCGCTATTCCCCTCAGACAGGCTGGCAATACTCTGATACCTGGCTATTAGGGAGTTCCACGTAATGAGGGTCGGTACAAAAACAGAATCAATTATATGTTTGGGAATGCAGAGTTGAGATTGGGGTGACGCGATTCCAGAACATGCGTTGAGGTTCCGACTCCAGGCCGAGGTAAACTTGAACTTGGACGACATGACGAACCATAGATCCCAGGTCTTGGCATCCGATAAGATAAGAGCCTTTGGAAAAGCAGTTCGCATTCACAGAGGTCCTTGGTATGAATGTTATTTAGATAGAGCAGATGAGCAGCTCGACTAATAGGACTCTCGTTCTTCCTAATGCGTATACGGCGACCGAATCTCGGCTACCAGCCGCCACTGTCTACTTACACTGTATACTGTGCTCCTGACTGTGCAGTACGGAATACATTGACTCGCAAGCTACTACTGTGAGCCTGCTGATTGGATGACATCCTCTAGCTTTTCTCTACCTACAGAGAACTAGAAGTTAATGCACTAGTCAACCGCCTAAGCATTTGCCTCTCTCACAAGACACGTAGCATCCCATAACTGACAAGGCAGAGTAGGACATGTCTGATAAAATCATAGCCTATAAGGAGTGTATCATGTTGCCGACAACCCCAACACTATCGATCTCCATTGCTACTAATATCCATTTCGACCTTTAACGAGCGTTTAACACGGGTGCCCCAGCGAAAGTCAGCGCAACGAAAAAAACACTATTTCTGGACGAGCTGTGAGCAAGGATCTAGTCATCCATGACAAGACGAGCACCAGCCCAGACATAAGGATAGTTGTGTTGATACCAGTTAACGCTGCACACCCATCAGTATCAAAGCTTCAACCAGTAGAAGGTAAACTTACAAAGACGTCCTCCCAGCAAGACGAGGATGGGTAGCCCACGATCCGCCCAAAACGACATTGTGCTTCCCATCGAAGAAGTCCGCTACAGGGCATCAGCTCCCACATTCCCAGAGGCAAGATGCCAATCCTGTGAACACTTACAAGAATACCCTGGATACAAGCTCATGGGCTCATAGCCCTCATGCATCTCCAGCACAGTGCTCGTCCACTCCCACACGCCACCCAGGTCAGCCTGGCCGCACAGACGGTCGCCCTTGTCTGCGACGGAGACGGGATGCCAGTGACGGAAGCCTACATTCGCGCCTTGGAGGTCAATGAAGAGGCTGTGAGGGAAGGGAGGAGATGCTGTGCTGGAGATGCCGTTTGACGAAAAGTGGGATGGCGGCGACTCCTGGACGCCGTTGTTGATGAGGTGGCTGTGAGGCGAGCTGTGAGTATGCCTTCGGCAGGGCTGCACAGAAAGGAAGGACTCACCTGTTGACTGCAGGAATGGTCTTTCCAAGAGCCTTCTCGATGTCTTTAGCCTTCGACTGGCGGACGTAGTTGTAGATGCTGCGAGCTTCCGCCTCGGTGGGAATGCGACCGCCCATCCAGCGAGCACAGCTGGCGAGCTCGTCGTACGAGGCCACAACGGGCCAGTTCATGGCATACTCGAGGGGCACGGGGCCGTACACCGTTCGCACATATTTGCCATGGGCGAGGCTGAGACCGTTCGTGTGGCCATTGGTGCCGTTTGTAACGCTGTCTTTCCTTGCCTTGTGTTCCATTCCCTTCAACTGGGAGACTTCGCACCAGGATGCAGGGATGGCGGTTTTTCCGGTCCGAGCCAGGTACTGGGCGTATTCGCCGTTGGTGATGGGACGGCCTTTGACTTTGAAGGAGCGCACGTGCACAGAGCGTTTGGGTTTCTCAATGTCCCAGCCGAAATATCTCTCTGCGCCAGCAGGATCGTCCGGATCATCAAGACCAAAAGACACATCCGCTTCAGGGATGGTGAACCACTCGTTCTCCACAGTCTGGGTCTCCGATAAGTGGTGAAGCGCTTCGAAATCGGGTGCCACAGTGCCCGGAGGTGGCAGAACCTTCTCGCTCTGAATGAGCATGTAAAGCAAGGTTTCGAGATGCATGGCCTCATGTTCGAAGCCAATCCACATGGCTTTGGCAACACGTGGTTCCTTATCGACGACGCCGGAGCCATACAAGTCTTGCACCTTATTCCTGACCTTGGCTTGGAATTCGAGAATCTTTTCTAGTGCAGGCCAACTGTCGGGAATCTCGCTATGGTCGTGGCACTTCTCCGGGTTGTCCACGTCAGGGTCAATGCCCCGCTCAAAGATCTTCCAGAAGTAGGCTGGGTCCGTGGGCTTCCCACCTGTGGCCCTAGCGATGTGGATGTCAAGGAATGTTGGGATATGGCCCAAGTAGAAGATGATGGCATTGCGGAGCCTTATCGGCTTTGACTGCATTTCTTCTTCGGGGACCATGCCACGGCTGACAAGGTCCCAGGCTGCCCACAGCTCCTTCCATTCAGCCAGAGTGGGTGCAGGACGGGACGCGTACTTCTCGGGAGCAGACGGGAAGAAGAAGTACGGCTTTGACGCCATGTGAAGTCCTACGGTGTTGGTCAGTGTATGCAGGGACAGATGGGCCTTAGTGGCAAGGGGAAAAGCGAATGAAATTTCGGTTAAAAGGAGGGAGCGTTGGATATTGAGATATGGGAGAAAGGTGCATAGAGACGGAAGAGACAACGGGAGGGAGAGAATGCGAGGGTACGTGCGGGGTGAGGGACAAATGCGAAGGACTACAGCATTAAGAACAAACAGAACACTCGTACCATAATCTCCCCTCCCATTCATCCAAACACCGCCTGGGGTCAAAGCAGCATTCTCCCACAGCTCCACGATCTCTTCGTGAGAATACTTGTAGCTCTCTTCAATGCGGACCCTCTCCCCTTGCTTTATCAGAACATTGTCAATCATCACATCCTCACATGGAGAGACGAAGGCATGGTGACGTCCGGATGCGGTATCGTACTCGCCAATGACTTCCCACTTCTCCAGATCGAACTGCGGCTGACCGAGGATGCGGTTGGCGTTCTTGAGGCCGTTGAGAATGAACTGGTGGGTGATGCCCTCCTTGTCATTATAAGCATGATAGACTCGATCAGCGTCCTTGCATGAATCGATGCCAATCAGCATCGAGTTGCCGGGCTGGATAGCATCCCTGAAGCCTGCCAGGAAGGGAGGTACCTCGTGACGCTTAAAGTTGCCCAAGCTAGAGCCGAGCCAGAGAATCGTCTTCGGCTTTCCGCGGATTTGGTCCGACTTGAGCCATTCGAGAGCGTGGTCGTACGTCCCGTAAAGTCCAAAGCAACTCACATGCTTATACCCATCGGTAGGGATCTCAGCAAAAGTGCGCTCCAGCTCTGAGAGGGAGAGGTCCACGGCGTAATACTCGACATCCTTTCCTGCACGGTCGATGGCTTGGAGGAGAATGTTGACTTTGCGAAGGTTCCTTGTCACGGAGTCATGTCAGGGTTCAATGTTCAGATATCGCGAGAAGTTGCAGATAAGGCGTCATACCCGCTTCCGAGTTCCACCACCACGGAGCCGGGCTTGATTCGCTCTGCGATATGACTTGCATATTTCTCCAAGACCTGAGTGAAGTCAGTTTAAAGCTTGTTTCTGAAGGCACAAATAATGCGTCTAGCAAAGGAATGGCTTTCCCCATATCGATTCGAGAGGACGGGAGCATGCGACTCGACGGAACGGGGCGACCCGTTTTCCCGCCCCCAACAGTGTGAAGGCATCACTATGCTTTGCCAAGTCGATCGTCAGATTCGACAAAGTCTAATTCAACTTTGAAGAAGCAGAGGTGCGGGAAACAAGATGTGTTTAGATTACCTCAATCTCAGCGTTGGTGAGATAGTACTCGTCGAGATACGTGATCTTCTCGAAGAGTCTCAAACCTTGCTCATCATAGAGCAACAAGGTAGGCAGCTTCTTCTCTCCGTCATTCTGAGGTCTCAGACCCAGCTTGATATCCCGCAGAATGTCCACCTCAGTGGGGCCGGTCCTGATGTCAATAATGGGAGTGCCATGGCTAGCCATGATGGGGTAAATGATGGAATGACGCGACCGATCGCTTGGGATAGCGTCAGACTGTGGTGATGGGACGCGAGCGTATATAAACATCTTGGATCGCGCAGGGGCTGACGATGAACGCTCGACTGACACGGTTGCCGTCGGACCTAGCACGGGGAAGACGAAAGCTTTGGTGTTTAGGCCGCAGGAACCGTCAGCTAGTCTACGATTCCATTGGATTAGGCCGGTATGTAGTAATCTGGAGAGCCAAAAGTACCGGCGAGATCGAGGGGCTGTACCATGCGAGTTGCTTATTCGATGCGGGACCGATCACTCATCAACCCCCCACCCTAGGCACATGCAGACGGCGTATGAGCCGCCATTGGCAGTGTGCCCTGATCTGTAAGGTATGTATGACGTCTGGACGTTCCTAGGTCCGGAACCTGCATTCGGCTTGGGTGATCCGTTGACAAAGAACATTGGAACTCCATCTCAAATGGAGAGAGCACGTGGGGAAAGTTCCTGCCGGTTAGTGACAGCTTTGGAACAACCGCATTCTGGGAAGTTGAACGTCTCTAATAAACTGCAGATACAAAGTATCTCGCTCAGTCGCAATACCCACGTCGTCACAGCGCGGCTGAACTGCGGGGCACTGGAACTTGCCGTTCTCCCAGGCCCATGGACAGCTCAGCCAGCGAGGTATTTGACTAATTCCACTAAGGATAGCCTCTCCACCCAGCAGTGGAAAAGGGCGTAGCGAGACTGCGGGGGTGTACCGAGGGTGCTACTGCAGAATGAGACTCGTAGCAGACTGGAAGCGGACTTGGTGCACATTTGAGGAGGGGTATACGGCCCACTGATAGTTCCACAACGGGGTAGGAATCCGTGAATACGGTGCATCGAAGGCCATTGATTTGGAATCAGACAATCTGACGCCAGCGGTACTGTGTCTATCTGGGATGACTTTGATGGAAAGTTGTTGGATAGGACAGGAGTGGCTCATGAGCAGTGCAAGCCTTCGGGTGCTGTTTCTGCTCTGATTACAAATCCCTGCCATATCGGGCTAGCGTTACCAAGCCGCCAAGCCATTCGACAGTTCCCTCCAGCTGCGCCAACAAGAACTTCTACGACGTGCCATCTCGAGAGATTCTGTCATTTTGTGGCGTCAGCTATGGCAGGCCGATTGAACTTCCTCCCATTTGCTTGATCCTGGTCTATTCATAAGACACTCTATCATCAGAATGGGCATCAGCTAGCGTGAGCTGGTCCCCTTACTGATGAGAGACTATGAAAGAAGAACACGAGAGGGAGCCCGACCGGAACTTCTTCACACACAAGATTCACTTTTCAACATCGTGAATTGAGCTGAAGAGCATAGGAACGCACATCTCTTTCTTCTATCCCGCACGTCGCATACACACTCGTACCTGGAGTCAGAAGTCTGCAGCATACAACAGCACAGAGCATGCAAAATGGTCGAGTACAATAGCTTCTCAGGACTCATTGGCAACCGAACTGCCAATATTGGAATGGATTGCGGCGACTTAAGCGCCGGGGCATGGTGTTCCAGAACTAACTGCAAGCTTCCACCCCCTCTGCTCAGTGACCGCGTTTACCATCCAACGGCATCGAGGCTTATACGACCCATGGCTGGGCAAATAGGGGCGCTCAGTTGTGGTCCGATGGTAAGCCTCCTATGGAACGCCTACTGTCATGTCATTGTTTCCACCAACTCAAGCTGTGAGATCCCTTTCAAAGTCCTCTAGTCCTTCAACGAGCTGGACTCTGTTTCGCAGGCCACTTGGTCTACCTGGTGACGAAAGCTCGGCGTGTCCCTCCTTTCAAGCTTCTCATTCTTTTTCTGGAATCCTTTCTCGGTCATTGTCCTGAGGGTTCGGGATAGCACCTAGTCGCAACTCCCGACCCCCCCTTTGTCGTTCTCCGGGTTCACGCCTCTGTACTGACGGTACGCGGTCGCTCTTTGCCTTGACTTCTGAGGGCACCGTTATTTCGTTCGTATTCAACCGATGCACCGGTAGTATTGTGGAGCTGGCGCTGCTGGTTTCCCTCGATGGGCCCATTTCCCTTTCAATATGCTTTGCAGGCGGACGCTTGGACGTCCTCAGTGACAAAGGAATCCCGCACCGGATGCTTCTGTTTGGCCGCCCTCTGCCAACCCCATGATCGGTCCCGATCGTCCCAGGCACATGGCGCTCGCGGAACCCTGCTCCCATGCGTCGAGTGAAGGGGCTCTCAGGCATCTTGGCGGCGCATAGATAGAGCCTTGCGTAGGTGGATGCTCACCTCTTATCACCCTTTCTTTGCCCGAGCCGCGTATTATTTCAGCGTCTCAGGCTGATCACAAGTCGGCAGCATGGTTGAGGACCGATCTTCCCTTCAACATGGAGTATGGAGTACCGCCTAACAGTGAATTCGTGCCGGACTGGCTATCATGCCCCTTTGACGCTTTCGTGCAGAACACTCAGGCGATGCAACGGCGGGACTGGGCACCGATGCTGGTCTCTCTGCGGGACCAGAAGAGTTACCTCGAAGATTTGCTGTCGAGGACGGCTACGAAACTCTACGCTCTCCGAGATAGACAGACGCGCAACGAGCGGGCATTACGAGACACGCCGGGCCCGCGGTCCAAAAGGAAGAAGATCATGCAAAAGAAGTTCTTGACCGAGAAAACCATCCGGACATGCGAGAATGAGGAGCAAGCCATCATCAACTGCCTACGCGTCTGTCAGAACAACATCAATACGCTGGAAGCCATCATTCATCCTACGGAGCCTTCTTCCATGGCGGCAGATCACAGCTGGAGCGAGTCGCGCGAATCGTTTCTGACGAGCGAATCATCCGTCGACTGGACCGAGGGGTGGGTGGACAATGGCGAGATGTCCCCGTTCCAAAGGCAGACTCGGCGGCCGGCAGTTTTTGAGGACATCGCGCCCGAGACGCCAGTGGACCAGATCAAATGCCCTGGACTTCCCCCATGCTCGCGCAATGCAGTCCCTGCCCCACCGCCGAACTCGGCTAGGAGCGTGCAAACGAGCCTGTCACCGGTAGCAGCATGCTTCCGGCCAAGCAAAAGCAGTGCATCAAAGGAGGTGGAGGATAGGGCAAGGCAATTGGACAAGCTGAGCATATCGGGGCTGCTGGCCTCAAAACGGCTGAATGGACTGCAGCTTGCAGCGCCTCAGAGACGGTTTTCCGATGCAGAGGTCAACCACATGTTCCGTCGTCTGTCAGGAGTTCCGAACGCAGGACCGAGCCTCGACCCAAGGAGACACATTAGCTCTGCAGGCGAGAGGAGTCGGAGTAAACTGAGCACGAACTCGCCACGGAGAAGCATTTCCATATGACGTTCCAAGTTGGAGAGATTGTGTAAAAGTGGGAAAGGGTGGCGTGGACCCTGCAAAATGGGTGCAGGAGATGCAAATTGTACGCATCTACTCCAGCTCAGGCTGGGCCTGGTCTACGATGGCGCAAACACGGCCATCCTTACTATGCTTCCAGCTGATGTATAAAGGATCTTTGGACCCATTTCGAGTTTCCTTGCACCTGGGCTGTTTGTGGATTGGGGTCACGTGCTGGCTCTACGGAACCTTGGAAACATCAATTGAAGAGACAGTTTCAGGTTGGGCTTGTCTGTTTCTCGCGTCGAACAGTTTACAGTATAACGTTTGTAGCCATAGAGAAGCAAGAGTAATCACGCAATACAGGGTAGAGTGTAGCAAATACATGCCGAGAATGTACTTCCATGGTCCCGATGGTGAATTCAGTTCAACCGATGACATGTCGTTCGCATACATCCCACGTCATTTATTATATAAGGGCCCGCCCGCGCGGTGCGGGGGTTCCGTCCAACAAGGATTCCAAGGTTCCTACCCGCCCCCGCCACCAAGCCCAGAGTGGAATCATCAATTGCAAAACGACGCTTCACTCGCTTGGGAGAAGACTGAACCCACAGAAGACGCCCGAAACCCACTTCTGTCCCCGCTCCCTCTTCAACACACTGCTGGCGGAGTCTCAACACTCCATGGCCCCCCTCAATACCATTTACTCTCGTCCGCTGCACACGTATCCTCCCCGGAAGTGGGCACCATAGCGTGCCCATCGACGTTTGCATTCCCTTGACGACGAGACACCTTGACTCTCCCAAGGCCGTACCCCTCGCTCTACACAGCATTTCCGCAGAGATCGAACCGTCTTCCCTTCTAGGCAGTCGTATTGCTATCGCGGTCCGTCCCCTCGACCACTGCTGGCCCTGTGCGACCTCATTTGCTCCTCGCCATCCGTCCGCCGCAACCATGACGAACCTCGGCAGCGACGCGACTGTCACCAACGACAGCAAGCTCCGAGAGCGTCCTACCGCGAAGCCAGTACGTTTGGAGAATGCAGATGACGCGAGACAGCGTGTGCTGGAGCTCAACGAGGAAGAGGAAAGCAAGCAATTCAAGGAGAAGCGCACGTATGGCCGCACTCCAGATGGCACAGGTGAGTGGATACCCTCCCGACGATGCGGGCAGCTTCAGACGACTTGCCATTGCGAACGACTTGCCATTGCGAATGTGCACTAATATCTTCATTCTACCGTAGTCTTCATCGTGCCCCAAACACACGACATGGTGTCGCAGCTCCTGTCTCCCTCGCAACCTAAAAACCTGTCCGACTTGGTAGTTCTTGGAGTGCTCGCAGGCCTGATACTCACGCTGTACCTCCTACCCCCCACCGCTCGCATCCCCGGGTTTGCTGTAATCTTTCTCTTCTGGCGCGCAGCTTACAACGCAGGCCTCGGCTGGTTGCTCCACCACCAGTCCAACCATAACCGTCTTGTTCTATGGGCCAAGCACTCGCGCATCTTCGAGAAGCCCGAATCGGGCAGAAACCCCCATCCCCGGCTGTATAAGCTTCTCAAGCGCGAGATGGAGACCAAGATCCCAAAAGATTACAAGTTCGATGAAGCGCCGCTCGAGTACAATACCTGGCTGCTGTTCCGCCGTGTCGTAGACCTGATCCTCATGTGTGACTTCGTCTCCTACTGCCTGTTCGCCATAGCGTGTTTCAATCGGCCTGAGGAGAGCTGGGTCCTGTGGGCGCTACGGTGGTTCACTGGCATCGTCCTATTCCTGTTCAATCTCTGGGTAAAGCTGGATGCCCACCGTGTAGTCAAGGACTATGCCTGGTATTGGGGCGACTTCTTCTACCTGATCGATCAGCAACTGACGTTTGACGGAGTCTTCGAGATGGCTCCGCACCCCATGTACTCAGTAGGCTATGCCGGCTACTATGGCATCTCCATGATGACCGCTAGCTACAAAGTGTTAGCTATTTCCATCATCGCCCACGCTGCCCAATTTGCCTTCTTGACTCTCGTTGAGAGCCCACACATCGAGAAGACGTACAATCGTCCGCCGCCCCGAAAGCACCAACCTTCGGCATCTACCGGTCACGCGGAACGTCCGACATCGAGCCAGTCCGAAGGCGCCTTTGCAGAATCCACGCAGACTGCTGATGCACACGACCAGCCGCCTCAAATCCATAATCTCATTGGCATCAAAAATGTGGATTTCCATCGAGCAATCGATGTGGCCGTGACGCTCTTCGTTTTCTACATGGCTTGCCTGACACTGCTTACACCTAACACGACGCTTGTCAGAGCCTTCTTCATAGTCAACGCGTTTTTGTGGCGATTGTGGTATGCTCTTGGAATTGGGTTCATCCTGGACCGGCAATCAACCGAAAAAGCGTGGACGCGTCATTTCATCAAATACGGTGAGAGCAAGGAAGAGGCCTGGCAACAGTTCAAGTACATGTACCACCTAAGCATGACCATGTGCCATGCATCCTTCCTTTGCGCGGCCTGGAAGATGTACAGTCTGCCGCCGGATTGGACGTACGGACTATGCACTCTTCGGCACGTTGTCGGTGTCGCTCTCATCGCCTTACAGTTGTGGACAGACATAAGCATCTACGACTCCCTAGGGGAGTTTGGTTGGTTCTTTGGCGACTTCTTCTTTGACCCTCCATCGAAGAACTTGACCTATTCTGGCATCTACCGCTTCCTCAATAATCCCGAACGCGTCCTGGGCCTGACCGGAGTATGGGGTGTAGCGTTGATCACGTGGAGCACCCCAATCTTCTATCTTGCAGCGACGGCGCATATCCTCAATCTCGGCTTCCTCCAATTCGTCGAGCGCCCGCATATGCAGAAGCTATACGGCCAGAACCTGCGTAAGGTGTCCGGTCTGAGTAAGACGCTGCAGCAATCGCTGCCCTCGCCCATCAGGAAGCTGCATAACAGGGCTGATGGAATGCTTCAGTCCACTGTCGACTTCATCGAAGACCTGGTGGAGACTGCACGGCCTAAACTGGCAGCGGGCGTCAACACCTTCTTCAAGGATACTCCAGCACTGTTCAAGACGTACCCTGCACGCATCTCCATCACGCGCCTGGAGCCCGACCTAGCCGGCCTCAACCCCAAAGACTACAGCGTCGAAATCCATGGCACCGTATCGTCTACCCCAACCGACTACTTCCAGATCGCAGCCCGAGAAGGCGAACTCGCCCGCACCCCAGCCCAGCGCACCAACGAATTCAAGACGCTCGTCCTCGAATACGGGGCCCCCATCAAGGTCCGCTGGCGAGCGCCCCTCAACCACAGTAGAAAGGACTGGATAGGCCTCTACATGGTGGCCGACAACCCGTCACGCGAGATTACCAGCATCGCGTCCAACGGCCGCTGGATCGCCACGAACAAGGGCCAATACGACTCCGTCCGCGCGGAAGAAGGCATCCTCGTCTCGGACAAGCTCGTCATTGGCGAAGAGGCCCGCGCCGACGGCGGAGACTCGTCCTACTATACCGGCGAGATGGAGTTCCGCGGCGACAAGCTCTTCTGGACGACGGGCGTCTTCGAGTTCCGGTACCACCACAACGGCAAGCACAACGTCATGGCGTTGAGCCAGGCGTTTGAGATCAGCATCCCCAAGTTTGACGAGGAGAACGTCGAGCTCGATGAGAAGGGGACCATGCACCGGGCCGTGGAGCAGGCGCTGCTGCCCATTATCCAGAATTGTTTCGATCGGGATCCGGAGATTGCGCCGGGGACGGCCGAGGAGGGATTTGGCGGGTTGGTCGAAAGGGATGGGAAGTATGCGAGACGAGTGGTTTTTGCCGTGTTGCAGATGTGAGTACTGAGTTGTCCTGCTGCAGTGAGGGGATGCTGGCTAACCTGTGTTGCTTATGAAAGGTTTGGTATCGAATTCGCACCAGAGGTTGTGCAGGCCGATGGCAATGTGAGGAATCTGGCTTGGCGGATTTGCAACGCGAAGAAAGTCCTGGTACGTGAGCTCATGTTGCTATTGCCATCGAAGTTATCAACGTCTACTCCTTTTTTTCTCTTCTCCCAATTCTATCCCTCCGACTACGAGGTTCAAGGCTAACGAGCTCGCCACACAGGCTCCCTACAGCATGTCGTCGGGCAAAGGCAGGAACACGCCTACCTTGCGCTAACTACAGTAAATTAGTAGACTAGCTTGATGGAAGTGGAGTGGGCTAGTCGGATGGAACGAAGCGGAGCGGATCCGGAGCGGCTGCCATGTGGAAGCGGATGGTGCCGTCTCGGCACAAAACCTATCTTTGTCAAACGGCGCAACAATAATGAATTGAATATCTTGCGGTTCCCATGGAAGTGGTAAAGAGGGGTGTCGCTGTTGCTATTACTGCTAGAGCCTCGTGGCTTTCCATGTGTTGTGAATTTCTTTGTTTTGGACGTGGAGAAGGGCGTGCGGGCACCTGCTTGGGAACGAACTAGGGAGGCGGAGGCGGGAAGCGGGGAGCGGCGTCCGTCATGGGCTTGACTTTGGATGAAAAGAAAATGGGATGAAGAAGGATGAGTACACGGTAGACGAGGTTTTGAAAGAAGAGACCTTTGTTGTACTTTGGGATGTTGCGTTGTCATGCATGGTAAGGGAATGTGGTCGTGGCGGGGTAGTTTCGTTTTATTGTTCGCTGGATGAGACGAGGGAGGGAGGGGAAGGATTTGGGGGGTGGTGTTATGTCACGGTTCTTTAGCTGCTTGCTTTTTTGCCTCTTTTCTTTTTTTCTCTACGATTTGTGTATTGCTTTGATGGTGTGTGTGTGCATGAGGGTTGTGTGTTGAAGCGGTGGACGGGTGGACGGGCGGGCGTAGACGGGCGGCAGGCGTAGACGGGTGTGATAGAATAGAATAGGGAAGGTAGAGAAGTAGACCCAGTCTTAGTCTAACAGTAGAGAAAACACATCATCGTTCGTCGCTTTTGCGGGTTTCCGGTGTCGTTGGTTGGAGTGTCAAACTCCGTGTTTCCGATGGTGCAAGTATGAGTGCAAGTACGCATTAGTGCGTAAGGGCGAGGGTAAGGTGCACTAGGTCTTTGAGCCGCAGGGTAGTACCTAGACAGACTACAGGTATGCTTTGTGTACGTACGTGCAGTAGACTCCCGCAAATTGACAGTAGTTGACAGTATTACTGACGGTACTCAACAAGCCCCGCCCGCTCGTGTCTGTGCGATTTGCCTAGGTGGTATAAAGAGGAGAGCGGAAGAATGTAGCCGGTAGCCGTCTGGGAATGAAAGGACCCAGCTCATGTGCGTCACGTGCTTTCACAGCTCCTTTCACGGCTCCCTTGCTGGGCAAGAATTTGAGCCTGAGGATGCTATTTTGGGATTTGGGAAGTAGTGCGGAGGCAAGGGATATGTAGGGAGTTAGGTAAAGGTAAGAAGGGCGGCCAACAAGTTAGATTGGCTGGCTGCGAGAGGAGTAGTTAGGAGTATTACCTAAGCGGTAGTAGTGTAGGCTGTACTCTAAGGCACAGTCTACGAGAGGGAGCCTCAGACATAGCGGCTTGGTCAAGGAGTTAAAGATTGGATCCCTAAATAGATATAGGCTAGTTGGACTTGAGCTGTTGCGGCCTTGTGTGCTCCACAGGATGAAAGGAGAGTTAGAGGAGCAACACTTCGTATTTCCTTCGTTTATTTAGACCGCAGCTATCATTCCTAACTTCTTCCCTAATTGCTAGAGCTAGTACTCGGAGCCTACGGGCGCAGATTGGTAGTATCCCTCCTCCTCTATTGTCGTCGATCGCGATACCAGTGACGCTGCTTTGTAGCACTTTCGCAGTGACTGCCCGCACCCTCTCTAATACGGGACGCCCTTGCATCTAAACTAAACATGCCGACATTCAGAATTTTGAGATATTGGCCGTTAAGGCGTTAGTCAACGGCTTTGTTCCCTACGGTCTTGTAACTTGTAGAGGTTAATGTATTATTCCGCTGCGGCCACACTGCGGGATCAGCCGGCTGGTAGGCACGGAGACGCGTAGTCTCGCAGGTGTGCGTTGATGTGTTTGGGTAGGAATGGAGAGTTCAAGTAGGAGGGTGTGGTTCTTTCTGCGAGGCCGAGTTTGTGCGGTGGGCTATGTGGTCGGTTTCTATTTTAGAAGTAGTGAGCTTTTTTTTTTGTGAGAGCGTGGATGACTCCGGGCTCACCAGATCCTGAGTTACTAATTTTACGAGTTACGAAAACTATTTTGGACGAATATGTCTTGCGATCTTGATTGGATTTCCCAAGCTCTTCCCACGTCAGGGGTACCTTCTGGTCACGACGAGATACAATTCTACGCCGTGGAGTGTATGCTAGGAAGGCACGGGAGGTGCCTATGTTGTGTGCATTGTCTATTGGAGTTTCAAAGGCTTTAGAAAGTATAGAATGTCACGAGGACCTCGGTCAAGCATGCGCGAGAGCGGGAGTTGGCACCCTAAATAGTACTGATGTCGCACCACCTGCTTCCATTGCTCGATTTTCTAGACAACTCTATCGTTTACTAAACAACCAAGTACCCGATTTGTCTTAAACTGTCTATCCTATTTGTAATGATTGCGGGAAAATAATGATTGTCGCCATCATCTGCACTTGAAAAGCAGACTCCGCCGGGCCTATTTAGAACATCTATTTTCAAACTTCAAGTGCGTTTGTAACAACCACGGTAGCACTCCTTGTGATATATAAACGCGCCTGCTTGCCCTCTACTCCTAACCTAACATTACGATCTTTGCTAACCTAAAAGAAGCCTGTGAGGAGTGCATGTCCCCAGGAAAGCCTTGTTGACCCGTTTCTGTGATCCCATCGTTCTGTTCGCTCGAAGTAGTTTTGATTGCTGAAGTTGGTGATGGTGATGCTCTGTAGTATCAAAGTAGTTCACGGTTAAGCGGGTCGTCCGTAACCTTTGCACTAGAGAGTCAGTTACGTCTCAAGTAATAATCCTTTCAACTCTTGGTCCATCTATAGTATATAAATGCTCCTTCTACTCTGATTTACATACAACCGCCACTTACGTGCTGGAAACTCGAATTCAAATCAGATCCAAAAACAACATATGTCACTGCCTGAAATCATCAACCTGCTCATGCATGTTATGTTGCTAACCAAAAATGACATGTGAATGGTACATGTTCCTAAAAAAGATCTTTATCTCCTGTCTCTACGACCTCATAGTCCTGTTCTCTTTAAGCAACTTACCTATAAAGTCTGAACCTCCGCACATATGTTTTGAACGCTTCTATCTTGCAGGCGATTCGATGTGGCGCTGGTTATCATCAGCACCGTTATCCACCGTCCAAAGATGGATTCCATGTTCTCATCCACCGCTGCCCTTTCTTCAAAGAACTTGGCAAAATTAAGCTCCAACTCGTTACCACCTTCCTGCAGTATAAAAGCATGGCACATTCCTTCCTTCCTTCTGCACAAAACTCGGTATTGCAATAAAACAAAATGCCATGGGGATGGGGAATGTCTGTTCGAAAAAGTAGGTGGGAAGGGGCGATGGGTTGTTGCGGCCTCGTTGCTTGGGATGGAGAGCGTTGTGTATGAGAGACGTTGCGCCTGGCTTGCTAAAACGCTATTAAGCCGGTGATGATAATCACTACCAACAAGTACATTCTAAAGGGGTTGCTGCAATTTTTATGTCAACCAAAAAGAATGACTTGATCTTCCCTCTATCAACGCTTTATAGCCCGTTCGATTTCCTTATTATCGGAGGATGGATTATAATGTCTCCATTTTGTCCACGTTCCTGCCTTTTACATATCATGATGACTTTGCATTTGGAGGTGAGAAATACAGGCGAATGTGTCTATCTAAAATGCCAGCGCTACGGATATGTTCTAGCTCGCGAGTCCCTCCTCTAACACGGCGACGGGCCCTTTTGATACTTAAGCCATACTACATGTAGATGTATGTGCTAGTTCGCAGCATTTGAAAAGCAGCAAGCTAATCGGCCTGTACCAAGCTAAACAACACATATGCTCTTCTTCTCACTTTTCTCCCCTCCGACCAGCTCTCCCAATCTCTCTGCACCATATAAAATCTCCGTACTTTCCTATACATACTGCATTCACGCACCCGGTTCTTCTGTCTTCAAAGACCACTGCTACCCTCGCATGTCTTGGGCCAGAAAGCTAAAGTTCACGCCTTCCGGACCTGCCCGGTACTTACAAATGATGAAATTGAATCATGATGTTCCTATTTCAAGAAGCTTGACGTGACAACTATATGTCATTCGGTCTTGGGAATTGTCTCGGGGGTTGCTTGAGTAGTTGATACGCCGGGGAACGAACGATTTTCAAGATATGGCTTGTAGACCGCGGAAGAGCACATAAGACTCCCGAGTAGGAACTTAGTCCCCTTTGTACACAGCAAACAGTCACTCAGGAGAGGGAGGAGCGTCGAGGTTTGAGGGATGATGGCCATTATCGCCACGACTCCATCGTGCATAGCTTCGAACCGAAACTAATCAGCTCCAAGTCTCGCTCTACTGAATTAACACCGGCTCCAGACCGCCTTACGATCCTCCTAGTCATCTTCCACTATGTAAGTCCCCTTCTTCTGCCCCCATCTACTTCTGCACCCACCCCGCAGTTCCACCTAAAAGTCAACAGCTCTAGCAAGATGTCTGACGTCTCTTTCAAAAAAGTTGACCGAGATGCATGACCTGCCAGCTCGATTTGCCACAAAGAAAGGAATAGCGTGTAGCGGTATATGCAATGCAGGCATAGTAAATTGTCCCCTTAGAAATTGAAAGAAGCCGCTTCTGTCCCTGCTAATAGAGGTAATCTGCGTACAGAGTGTCGTCCTCGACAGTCGCGGAAGAGGATAGAGAGGATAGGAGAGCAGATAGGCTCTTATTAATAAAAGCAACTGCGCTCTCCGTCTTGTTGCCCGAACCTATGGCTGAGAAGGAATAGTAACAGGAAGCGGTGGTAATTAAGAAATATTGGGGAGGAAGGGGGGGGACAAACTTATATCTATCGGCTCAGTGCTAGGTCTACATTTAGTTGCGTCAATAACGTGGCAGAGCGGTCGTAGCTAACGCACATCACCACATGTACACCACCACCGACGATTACACGAACGGGCTTCGCCGTCTAAAGGAATAACTGGAGGGCACGTTCACTAAACCGTTATCTTGCCTCCTAACACTCCTCTACTTCCTTTATCGTCGCTTCGCTGACCTCTTCCAGCCCTTTTTCTGCCGCCGCCATGTTCCCCGAAATCGTGTTGCCCACGACGTCCTCTCGCGCCATCGACAATAACATTATACCGTCAAGCGACGAGCAGTTGAACGTACAAACTGTACGGGTCAACACAATAATAGAAGTGCTTGCAAAAAATACTAATACAATGCTTAATATCTCATTCAATTTGGAATCGTAAAATAGAGCAATAACGTTACTTTGCTACAACACTCCTCTCACAACCCCAGCTGTTGCAATCGATCAAGTAGTTCCTGACTCGCAACGTCTTGTTCGCACGGCAGTAAACGGCTCTCCATAAAAGCTATCTCTCTCAACTCCTCAATTCCCTCGCCCTCAATCGAGCGCTCCTGGAGCGTATTCACAGCCTGAATGAACGTAAAGATAAAAAGAAGTTCCCTCGGTTTATTTGTATACGCGTACTTGTCATTCTCGTAGATACTCAACATTGGGTGAAAGCTGTTGACACAGATGTACTCATGGGCACCGTAGTCGTTGATCTGCATCTTGCTAGGTTTTCTGTAACCGGCCTTTAAAGCTTTAATAGGCGCAGAGCGGAAGGGATCGCAGTATTCCGGTAGTAGGAACGGCTTGACTTTGTTATGAAGCGTGCGCCAGCATAGGAGCACGACTTTGGGACGGATGCAGGCGATTATATCGTCGAATGCGGAGAATGAGATGCCGTCGTTCACCAGCCGTGTCTGAGGAGACTCGGTCTTTCGGATCGATTGGCTTCTAAACATCCATCGATCTAGAATTATCGTGTCGTGAATGCTGCGCGTGCCTTTAGTCGCTAACTGAATCGATTTGTCAACAAGCAGCAGAGTGGGAGACTGTTCCAGCATTTCGTCGAATTCTAGCTTGTCGAAGGAGTCGCAAGGTTCACGGAGAACGACAACGATGTCAGGGTAACCAGTAGCCAGCTCTATGGAGTTATTCACTCCTTCGTCGCTGATTTCTTAGAGTCCTCCCCAGATCCTCGATTTCCCAGGGAAGATTAGGGGTCCTGAAATAGGTGGATTGACTCCTAGATTTACCAAAATTTCGGCGAAATTTTCATTTTCGGGGTCGACATCGAGTCTATATATTCCTCTGCTCATTGTGCCTACTCCACCACGTGTCCACCCCTGGTTGCTGAAACTTGAGCGACACGTGAGGGCGAAGTGCGGGTGAGGGCAAGTGGTGAGATTGAGGGCGAGGTGAGATTGAGATGCGGGGCAAGGGCCTTACTTATAGATCTCACCAGTCGGACCCTCTCTCGCCGAGTCACCATGCCTGCGCCACCACCGCCACCACGTCTTCTCAGATTGGCTCCATGTCCTCAAACAGAACCTCATATCTCAACCTGGTGTTAGCTCAAAATGGAGGCCACGGACGCTCATGGCGTACCGCGAGTGTTCAAAAGCCGACAAGGAATGGGTCGGCGGGAGGCTCTTCCGCGCGGTGGTATCTCTCGTGCCCGAGATAACAAAAACAAGGACGTCAGGGGCTTCGGTGGTGCTCCTCGTCATCGTCACCACCGCCCGTCCGGACTACTTGCCCGTGAAAAGAGGAGCCAAAGGATGCAAGTGTACTCGCAGTAGCCAAATGCCACATATTCCCCGGCCCTGTGTTTTCCGTGGTCACAACATCTTCCATGCCGTGTGTGTTCGGGATATTCTGCGGTGTCGAGCCCATGCCCTGTGTGTGCAGTATATTCTGCGCGTCCTCGGACCCCCCTTCCCCCTCCGCCTTTCTCTTCCTCCACCTTCCTCTCCGTCTCCCGCTTCCCCCCTCACTCTGGGTGATACAGTATGCCCGCAAACTCGTCTCGCTCCACTTCCTCTGTTTCAAGAACCGCGACATGGTCGACTGCGACACCTCTATCCCCCTCTCCGCCCTCAACCACTTGACCATTTCGCTCTGTTCCATCCACCCGGATCGCAGCAGCTCCTCGAACAGCGCCTCCGCATCCGCATCGCTGAGTTTCGTTGGACGGCCCAGAGGTTTGACCTCGCCGTCTGCGTCTATGGGCTTCCGTACGCTGCCGTACGTGCGGAGATTGTGGGCAACGGTGTAAACGGACTTGAGGGTGCAGCCCTGTTGCGCGGCTATTATTTTGGCTGGAGTCCCGTTCAGAAGCTCCCGGCATATATTCAGACGAAGACTGTCTGAGAGGCCGCGGGTGGAAGGGCCTCTGGTTACCGGCTTAGGTTTCGGGGTGGGCGCTGGTGGGGAGAGGGTACTTGATGGCGTGGTGTTGGACGGTTCGGAAAGGCTAGGTAATGGCCTTCTGATGGACGGATCCGAAGGGGTAGGTAAAGGCGTGGTATTGGGCGGTTGGGAGAGGGGAGGTAATATCCGACTCGGTTCCGTGGTGTTAGGGGGGACGGAATGATTCATCGCTTGAAAGGATTTGCAGCTGCAACGAAGACTCCAAAAGTCAGTCTCAAGAGCGTTCACTCAGATGGCAGAAGAGACTTACGATAATAACACGTACGACGGAAATAACACGATGCAGTGCGGTGTCAATGACGCTTGTGATGCTACGCCTTTAGGCGGACAAGGAACTCTGGAGTTGCCGAGGAAGTCGCTTACCCGATTAATGCATATGTGTAAACAACTCTTTCCCGATTAACGATGTTGGGTTCGCTTAGATGCGTCCATATCTGGAGTGTTTTGCATCCGAAAATGGGCGCCTCCAAGCCAGCAAAATCTTGGCATAGATCTGCGAGCAATCCATGTTCATTACATAATCGTCGTCAGGTATAAGAAGCTTTTCCCGTCCTGGTTTTATTTCACCTCAAACCTCTAGACTCTCGCCATCCTCTTTCTACCAGCACTTTCTTGCGCATGGTAGAACCTTGCCTCTACTACCTTTTCACTGATAGCAACTTCGACTGTCGTCAATATTTTCCCTCCATGAAGCAGCCTCTCTGCTTCATTTCACCTGTCCAGTATTTCGATCCTATCATTCGCATTACCTTTCGACGACTTCAGGAACGGTGCTCTCAGAATTTGCCGAAGCTTGATCTGCCTCCGCTCCAGAAGGCCACGTAACACCGCCAACATCTTGCTCGGATCAACGGACGGCATTACAAATTGTAATCAACCGAACAAGGGCTCGGAGATTGATGCTCATGCGACCTACTTCGCTGCCACTGCCAGGATACCAAGCTCGGTTGCTGCACTGAATGGCCACGAAGCTACGCGCTTTGTCATACAATGGAATCAACCCAATACGTCACGCGTCTGTCTGGCATAAATAGCTTTCATGGCCGAAACCTCGTATTGCGGCGTCACTTGCAGCAAACTAGGGGCTGAAGCAGGTCCCTAGGGCGCGGGCAGAAGTGGACACCAATCACCCAACCTGAGCGAAGTCGCGCCATCGGAAGTGGGCAGCGCCGGCGTGGGCTTGACTCGAAGCTGGGTCTCGGTCTTGCCGACGATCAGGGAATCGTATGGATATCGGAGATTCTGCCAGGTCTCAGTTTGATTCATTTGTCTGTCCAGCTGACGAGACACGGGTTATGCGAAAGGATAGCTGGAAGGATCTGAGACTGCTTGGAGACTCCGGGATGCGTATCCGGAAGTACAGCCTGGCTTCAGACGAGTTGGCATCACCAAACCCCCTTTAGGCTGACGGATACTAGTGGAACATTTGCACCCTTGAAATTGCCCAGACACTTCATGCAGGGGCCACAGCTGAGGTCGTGGTCGAAAAGATAGGAACCCGGGGGCGGTGCTGGACCTCGCGTCAGCCTGGTATTCCGCTGGCGTTGATCCGTTTTGAAGGCTGCCTCTCCCTCTGGTCCTATGGCCCGCAAACGTCATAGTCGCAGCCAAATGCGGCGTCGAAGTGCCACGTTGAGCATGCCGCACGCTCCGCGAAACGACAAAAGCCATCGCCTTTCTACAACAAGCCGCTTCCAAACCACACGCTCAGTAGCAATACCTGCGATACCGAAAGCGACGACAGCAGCAGCAGCAGCAGCAGCAGCAGCAACAGTAGAGACGACGATGATGATGAAGAAAACGGTGATCGCTGCTGCCATCGAAGCAATGGGCGCCTGAAGTCTACCACGAGTCTTGGTTGCCCGTACCGGCACAAGAGCAAGTACGGCCGTTACGGCCGTGACAGCGCTCCGGCTCAACGGTCTAATATGAAGATGGCTTTCCCTTCATCACACATGACTACAGATGGGTGGCTACGGCCTCCCATAGTGAGCGCAACGCCTGGGCAAGACTAAGAACAGTTGCCTAACATCGCTATGTTCCCACTATGTACCCACTCTCCTCAGGTATAACTTTTCTAACCGCTTTCATCTATGCTTTTGGCAATACCGAGATGACCTCTGCACAAGATCCCTCACTACTGCTTCGACTCGGTTGCAGACAGCACCAGGTCGCTGCTACTCTTCATCTATTCTTCCCAGAGCTCCATCTCGAAAGCCAGTACAAGCACAGTACCTACCTAAGCAAGCAAAACCAGCAGCTCTGGCTGGATGCTGTGCTGCTTCCTGCCATCGGCAAAACAGTGGATGATTCCACTAGCGTCGTAGCCGAAAGCGAAAATATCCGCTTTAACAGACAGTAACGGGCCTGGATATCTATGACTTGCCCTTATTACGTACGTCAGGGGCGAGCCGTCAATTGAAGACCCAGCGAAATCACCGAGTCGGGCATCCAGATTGGTCGCAAGGGAGGGGTTTGCACAGGTAACGTCCGCATGCACGATTCTTAAAGCATGGAGATGGGAAAAGACGTTTGGGATCTGCCTTGACCATCGCAGTCGGAGCTCTTGTGTAACATCGGCAGAACGTCTCGATAAGAGATTCTCCACGGTAAAGTTCGGAGCGAACTGGAGGCGGATTCCCCTGGCGGATAGAAGTTGCCCAACACTAATAGCCTCCATTAATCTGTTTCTGCGCGCCTACTTGGGTTGAATGACGTCGGAGTTCCGAAGGGATCAGCATGTAATGCAATAGACCCAGAGGGCTGCACAGATGACTCTATACGGATAACCGATCAAAGATGCCGTCATACCAGAGTGGATTTGCTAGAGAGCTAAGGGTTACCTTCGCTCGACTCTATGTAGTGCTACGGAACGGAACAACAATATACCGATGGGGCTAACGTTCGGCGATGTTTGGAGCCACGTGATGCCAGCTCCGCCCACCGCGTAGCGCATGTGATGGAGCCCATCACACAGCATGTGTTAATCAGCGATATTACTGGTCAGCGATTACCAGTCAGCGATAACCGGCCTATAAGCACAAGACACGACGGCGAGCATCACGATCGCCATTGTCTTCCGATCGAGGTGGTGACCTGCCTTAAGCGAACAGTGAGCTGAATTAGTTTCTATAAGGGAATTCGTAGCATTACAGTTTCACCGAGACCGGCGATATCTTTTTCCGCAATTCTTCATCACGTGATACTACCCTGCATGCCTGGTGATTTCAATGATTAGATTCGCGCCATGTCATCTCCAGCTTCTCCCACATTACCACGTCTCGTTGCATTTCAATCAAACCGTTACGATGGTTCATGGTAAGCTTATTACCACGACCCCGGAAATACAGACAAAGGCCCTCAAACTTGCTCCCCTCTTCCCTGAATCAGATGCCCCGCAGGTGGTCACTGGGGACGATCGGATAAGATGGTTTAGATATGAGCGGAGAGAGACATGGAACAAAGAATTTGATAGTTTAATTGAAGAGATCAAAACGATAGTATGTATAGGGATGACATATACTCTTACTACGTTACTAACGTTAAAGGCAAACGACATCAAGCTCGCTGTAGAACAACACGCTGGAGCCACGCTCCGGAAGCGGAAACCCCCTGAACAGCGTCCTCTGCCCATGCTAGAATGCCTTGATGCTGGCTGGGTGATGGTCCCAGTAGGGCATGCCGCCTTCCTTCTGTCCGTTGCACCTGCAAACTGTGCGGAGGCTGCAGTCCAAGTCTGGGCGAGCACACGAGACAACCAAAGCATGGCGGGATGGCTGTGTGGTTCTGGTGTGGTCATCTTTGGGCCTGTTAGTTTCCGAACGCAGCCAGCGGGGATTCCCTATGTTTCAATACCGTTGCCGATGTCGCCATTGGGAGAAGATGAATGAGAGCATGGGGTTATGTGAATATGTCAGATTTGATGGTATCTGAAGATGTCACGGTGACAGAAAGATTGATTGAGGATGGGTTGACTGATAGTATTCAGGTGTGTCCTTGTGTGTGTGAGGCTGGGGCCTGACACCGGTTTTGATGTTCCTTCTCTGGGCACCAAGGCTGCGCAGGGCACTAGCCACTGCAGAATCACTAGCCACATGTCCTCAGACAGTACCGGTACAGACAGTTTCTCCCAGTCCTCCTCTCCAGTCCCAGATGAGATATCCATAAACTGGCTTACCATCTGACAGAATAGATCCCAATCGCCTGTCTGCCAATACTCCGTCATGACTGCAGATGGCGGGGTCATCGGCTCTACGGGCTGATCTGTTTAATAATAAGCAATAGAATAATAGATCAAGCGAAGAATACAAGTACCTCCTGCGATGGCACCTCGCACTTGGGTCGGTGATAGCAAGTGGGGCGAGGGTTCAGTGGCGACATTTATTAACGCCAACATATCCACGCCCACCGCCTCCGTTACGTTCCCCTCGTCACACTGATCTGGCTGATTGAATGCTACACCATCGTTTCCTTGGGTCAAACGAACATCTTGATCCGAGTTGGCGGCAGAAGACGATAGATTAGCGCTGGTCGCCTCCGCTATAGTCCCCCTTGCATGCTTGTCTCTTCTTTTGTCTTGCTGGGAGTCTGAGATATCCCTTGTGGCGGGAGTCGACTCCGCAGCAGTCGTAGCTTCGTCACGAGATGTGGTCACCTGCCTCCACGTGAGCGGCTCGAACCTTCGTCTCTTCTGTGCAGGTTGAAGAATACTATGCTGTGTGGACGAGGTTGATCCCGAAAAAGCGTCCAGGTCGATTCCCTCCATTGTCTCTGGCCGGCCCGACCCCGTAGTGTCGAGCACTTCGAGGCCGATGTGAGCATTCCCGCCTTGCCGTACCTCTGAGGCGTTCTTCGATCCCGCAGCTTCCGGCTCGGTTGTGTGTCTCGTCTGGACCCGCTTAGAATTCGCATCGTCGTAACCCAAAACTTTGCGCACTGAACCTAGGCTATACAATTTAGCGAAGAACTTCTTCAGAATCCTATCGCCTACCTGACGGCAGGCTCCCAAGCTGCTATGACTTCTGGGACTGTGAAGTTAACACAAAACGCATCGCTAGGCGGTAAGTAGGCTGGGTCCTGTAATACGCCGACTATGTGAGCTAGGCTGTTGGGGTTATTAATGGTCGCGTAGGCAGATGGAGTATCAGGAGTGCCTCCCGTATGTTAGCATGCCATGATTAGATGCAATAGAAAGGCATATACAAAAAAGACATAATGTCGTTGCTTGAGGCCATGTCCAACCCTTTTGGACAAGGCTTCTCATCAATCTGTTCATCTATCCTGCGCCGTCCCAAATTCGCTTCTTGTACATCTCAGAGCCATCAACCATCTGAGTCATCATATCGTAAATGATACCCTTTTCAACAAGGGACAGCATGTCCAGCACGCAGAAATACGTGAGAACGCAGAGTAAGTACATTCGGGCTTTAGCAAGCGAGCAAGAAGCCACCGTGATGAAGTTCATGGCTTGTTGGGTATGGTACCTTGCTCTACCAACGATTGTTGATTCTGCATGTTCTTGTATCGGTTTCGAGAGACCCTCAATTGGCGCAGAGGTGAATGCAGATATGTCGATGCCTAATTTCTGCACTCTAGCCTTCCACTCTTGCGCAAGGGGAGCTTTCGCTACAAACGATTCGGCGGGATATTCCCAAGTTCGTCTCTTTGGTTTAAGCCGACTGCGGTTGACAGAGTCTCGTGTTGTTTTTGTTGGGTCGAATGAAATGATCTGAATGCCATCCTGCTGTAAGTGTAAGGCATTCTCCGTCATCGCATCGTTCGTGCCGGACGTTATCGGTCATTTGAGCGTTGAATGTTCTTCTTGAAGCTGGCTCAGCGAGGGTGGTTCAGGTAGAGTCGTCGCCCTAAGATCGAGCAGCTCTCGGTCGACTGATTCGTGCGACTCCGTCGAAATCGCACAGCATTGTGCGTGATGCCGCTCGTACACACCAATAATGACTTTCAATCTTGCAACCTCATCTAAATCGACCATATCCCACTGAGCAACACCAGCGAGTTGGGCAGTGGAAAGAACCCGAATGAGGAGACGACATCGAAAAGGGCACGCTAACCACTTTGGCCAAAAGAATTCTTTTGGCCAAAGTGGTTAGCGTCCAGCTGCTTCCCGAACCGAGCTCCGTCAAAAGCCCGTTCAGCCATGGTACACAGGGCCAAGGGGCGTCACTGCGCCATGGGCTTCTCACCCAACTGATAGGCCTCTAACTGGCCATATTCGTGCCATTTGCCCATGCTTCCGAATCCGCTCCCCGCTTGACGCGACTGCTGTTTACACCATGCACCTGAGATGCAGAAACCCAGGAGCAAACGAGAGGATCTGATATATCATGCCCGTCCTCCGACGAGGCTAAGTCCCTCATTTCGTCCCTCAGTCCTTCACCAGTTGCCTTCCTGCATCTTCTTTGCCTGCATTCTACGTCCGGCATCCTGAGCCTTCTCTCTTTGAATGTGTGGCTATGGTGCCATTTGATGCAGTCGTTCTCGTCTTCGCGGTGGTCAGCAGTCTGTTGGTCTTTGTGCATGTGTACCATTTCCATCCATGGAGATTATGGTCCAAACATGAATGGCCCGTCTATTACCTGTTCTGCTACTCCGTTGCTATTGCAGGCGCCATTTCTATTACCTCTTATTTCCGGCTGAAATCGCATATTGCACTCCAGTTACTGTTGGAGTTAACCTGGCTGAATGGTTTGGGTGGTCAAGTTTGTATTAGGTCCATTGGAATGAACATTTTTGACGGGTGTTAGGTCTACACTTTCCAAAAGATATGCTCGGAAAGCTACCGTATCGAAGTTGCCCTCATCGCCGCGGTTGCCGTCTTAATTCAAGTCGTGGGTTTTGGGCTCTCGCAAACTCGGTATAGTGAAAAGGCAAGAGGCTTCTTTATTGCTGGAGCCATCCTGTTCCAAGTGCTTCCAGCGGGTATTGCAGCCGATTGCCTCCACAAGCTCCACATCAAGACGCGGCCTTTTGTATTTTTCACAGCTGCCTTTATAATCGCGGTCGCGGGCATATTGGGGATCTCAGCAGTTCTCACCAAGGACTGGTTCTTTCTGGTAAGTCCACAATACAGCATCTTTTCATGGACTAACCTAAGCAGGCAAACAATATCCTGCAATGTTCAGTAAACTTCTTCATAATTGTGTTGCGATACTCTAGGAGACTTAGGCTGATCAACTGGCTGATTAGTCGAACTCTGAGGCTCCGAGATAACTTTCAGAATGCGTCTTCGGTCACGGAGAGCTGGAAGGGGCATACAGAACAGATGCAGAGGTAGGTAGACGCCCGTCTTCTAAGCTACCAATCACTAACGGTACACTAGCCATATACCTCACGCCATCGATCACCCAGAGAGGAACACCCCGAGCATTTCCTTAAGTACTTCTACATATCCCTTATACCGAGCCCCCAGGAAAGACGAAGTTTTAGAGATCGTCCATGCCTCTCACCCTACGCCCACCGCGGAGGATATGTCTGCGCAAGTGGTGGTTGAATCGAACACACAAAAGGGCATCATCCACCCTAATAAGTTTCTGCGTTGCTATCCTTGAATACCCCACGCACCTTATAGAGGACTTTTTTTCCTTTGTTCACCGAAGCTCCGTTTCATTCTTTTCATTCCCCGTACTTTCATGTCTTTTAGTACCGAATACTAGACTATGTTCTCCGTGGTGAATACGGACTTGAGAACCTGCACTGAGTGACCATTTTGGGTCGTACTTTGACCTCACCATCCGCACCTCTGCGATACCATTTCGGGGCCACGATGACAACGTGAGATATGTAATTGCACTATTGGTGATTCGGATGATAGCATACGACCAACTTATGGCGTCGGCTTCGCCATACTGTGTACACTCCGGTGACTATAACCCTAGCGTTAATCGCACGGTCGTTCGAACTTTTCCGACGCCTGAGTGAGGCTGTGTATGTAAGTAGGAAAGGAACTAGCCGCCTAGAAATGTGGGCCCTTTTCGCTATATAATGAGAAGGGACCTTCTAATTTATATCATCACCCCACTTTCTTGTTTGCAGCCTTCGGCCATCGGAACGCTACTGAAGTATATCTGTATTAACGACCATCTTGCCGCTAGGCCAGTCCATTCTCGTTTGCGTGGCTTCTTTTGAAAACATGGGGGAATATCATATCGTTGTTTTCGGCGCAAGTAAGCTCGATCATAGTCTCTAGCTAGGTAATTACTGAAAAGATCCCGCTAGATAGGGTTGGAAAGAGCTCCCTGATCGGTAAGTTATGTACAATCCAGAGCTGATGTTGTATTCGCGAGTGTTGACTCCATAGCACGATTTATCCAAGATGCTTGGAAAGAGCTGTACGTTGCCACCACCAACTCCCACCGGAAAAATATCGACATGAACGTAAGTGAACACCCAGCTCTTGTGGCACCTTTTCTGACGTCTCGTAGGGTCGCCACTTTGTACTAGACATTCTAGAGGCATCAGGCACGGAGCAGCTGAATTCTGCCGACAAGTTCAGGGAACTCGACATTAAAACGGCTCACGGATTCCTTCTCGTCTTCAGCGTAACATCACAGCCATCCTTCGACGAGCTCACGACATGTTGGAAACAAATACAGCACATTAAAAAAGATGTTGCGGTTCCTCTAGTGCTTGTTGGGAACAAGTCAGACACCAAAGATGACCGATCTATAGTCCACTTACAGGTCCTTGAGGCCTTTCCAGGGTTGCCATACTACGAAACGAGCGCAAGACTGGAAGTAAATGTAGACGAAGCCTTTCTAGGTCTTTGCAGGCAGATACTTGATAAAAACGTTCGAGTTCGACAAAGCGCTTCTGCCGACGAGTCCTGCCTGTCTTGCACAATTCTTTAACGTAAAGTGGAGATACATAGTTGGCTTACTCAAATATCATCGCCATTGCGCTTGTACGCGAGCTCAACTCAGAAGTTGCAGTAGAACTTGCTATTCGTATACCGTACGTCCGTTTGCTCTGTGAACAACGGATCTATCTTGTTAGGCCATCTCAACCATGAAGTATGGCTTTTCTCGATAGCTGTGCGCGAATATGTCATCCTGGTGTGGGCAGATCACGCATTTTCAGGTCCCAAAGCGGCTCCTAACCTTCCTATTCTCGGTTTTAAGTATCTGCTAATCTTGCCCACCTATCCCTCATGCAAGCAAACCATCGCCTGGATTCAAACCACGATCACGCTCAGACGTGAGGTCTTGCAAACCAAATGGGAGCCAGTAAGAGGAACCCTCGGTAACTCCTTACATGTACTAACAGCAAAGAACATCTTCACTTGACCGCTGGACCGAGGAGGAATCTGAAGTTCTCTTGATCAGATACTTTCTTGACCGCGATTTCAGACCAGTCCCTAAACGGACGATCCAGGCTTGCGAAAAGCAATTAAACGATATTTTGAGCTCCTGCTTGCCAAGTATTGAGAAGGCAATAAATGCGTGGCACGAAAAGAACCACCAATCGACTCTCAGTATGGAGAGGACAAGACTGATACTTTCCAGTCCTGTCCAAGACCACGACGAGGATCACTACTACGCTATATTTGACGAGATGTTCACATTAGATGGGAAGTCGTACAGAGATGGTATTCGCGAAATAGTTCGAAGTTACTACGCTGGAAAAGCGGGTGGAAAGCGGGCATGATGAGTAATTTATGTCTCCCGATGAGGCTGGGACGTCCTTCAGTCCATCTCCTTGCCACCTTTCTCAGTCCTGCAGTAGTGATCTGTGCGGCCTTCACCGCTCTCCTTAGTCTTGTTCAGGTATGCATCCAGTGAAGGAGGAACTTTGAGTATAAAAAGCACCCTATCCCTCGAGTTAAGCGATTTAGACTCTGCTTCCAGCTCCGTCCTCTAAGTTTATCCTTCCACTCCACACGTTACAGCTATGCCTGTACGTCTTTTACATCTTCTTACACCTTCAAACATAAGTACTTATACCTCTAGGTCCCCGGTCGCCGCTGCCTAGCCTGCCTTACCTATCACCAACTTAATAAGCTCCCTAAGTTAGTATAGCTTTTCTCATACTTATATTTAGATAACCACTGCCTACACACATATTTAAACCCGTAGCTATCATTTAATTCAACTTTAGTGTTCCTTCAATTCCATCTGCCCGATAGTCTATTTCACTAAACCGTTATAGTGATGGAGGGACCTAGCCCTGCGCGAATACAAGACCTCCCTTAACAAACAGTAAATCCTAGACTACTCGAGCACAACGTAGGGATGTCCCTCGCTCTATTCTATGGTATCACGACATTAGCAGAGCTGAGGATTGAAGCAGGTGGAGCTTAAGTACAGAGAAACACCATTTTCGAAGGCTTTAGCAGGTGAGAGTATTCTTAGAGGAGGTTGCTCCGGTGCGATGCCTTCTGGCACTGCCTGAGGGCGCGCCGAGGCAGTGAGGCACAGGGCCAGTGAAGAGAGGAAGAGAGAGGCGCGCATTTTGACGGAGTCAAGAGGGTCTCGTCGCAATCGACAACTATTCCGAAGAAAAGGTGTTATCGAGTATGCGATATGGTCAAAGCCAAAATTGCCAATTCAAGATACGACAATGTACTCGGTAGAGCGAGAGAAACGTGCGGGGAAGCCCAAAAACGATTGTGGTGATAATGGCGTGGGAGGCGGGTCGAGGGGCTGGGACGCAAGAAATGGGTTGAGAACTGCAAGGTGAAAGGCAGGGAAAGAGAGCCTCTCTGTGCGACGGAGCGCGACAACCACCTCTTCTATATGGGTTATTATTGCGGTGCACCGGCGACCCAAAGCGTTAAGGCGGCGCGGTGACCAAGGAAACATGCTGGTTGGGGATCGGCAGGTACAACGCACGTCCCCTGCAGTTCGTTGCCAAAGAACAGCTCGTTCGAATCATGATCGATGGATAGTCTATGCTGGTGGCTGGTGGTTGCGAGATTGAAAGAGGGGAAAAGTGGATGGTCAATCCGATGTTTGTTGGGTTTGTTTGACAATTAGATCACGTCGGATGGGGGTGAAACATCGAGGTCCAACGAAGTGAGGCCGAAATAAGGTTACTCGGCGCTAACCGTAAGCGGAAATGGTGAACTGGAGAAGGTGCAAGACACCCGACCGTACATAGTACCATGTGTGCTCCAGGCCGTCCTTTTTTGGGCTGTTCTATCTGAAGGAGAATCCCACCACATAGTCATCTCCAGCTGAAAACCAGCACCCAGGTGGCAGAAAAAAGTGTGAGATTGCTCCGACCCCAGAAACGGATCTGTGTCGCTGCGATATGGCACGCAGTTCTAGCATATAACCCTCTTGAATCATGTTAACGAGGCCCTAGTATCTCGAATATAGGGCATCTTCTTGTCTTCGACTTTCACACCCGCGACATTGTCGTGCCCAATGTGACCTACCAAACTCCATTTCCGCTTTCGAATATGATTTTGAACTGTTCTGAGCTGATTTGCGACTAGTGATCTGCGACTAAGGCCCCTTCCGACTCTCGTGGCAGTATAACAAAGTTCCACCTTGTGCTCGAGGCGCTGCAGGAAACTGGGTCACCGAGGCGAGTAACGCGGAATCATCACTCCCATACCCCTTCTGTCTTTTTCTTTCTCCAGACTTCAATCTTGCTCTTTCCAGCCTCGTCCAGCACATCAACACTTGCACCAGAATCCAACAGCTCCTTCACACCTTCCTCATTGAAGGTTCCCACGTCCCTCCGTATGGTTAGCGCCATTTGCAGCGCAGTCATACCATCACTCTCGCTTCGAGAATTCGGGTATGCGCCACCTTGAAGTAGAAGTCGCAAAGTATCTATACGGAATGGTGTGGCTGCGGTCACTGGAAGTAGGCGGTCGAGAAGGGCCTGGTGAGCCCGCGGGTCGCCTAGACGCCGATGCGCATCAAGAAGCGTTGCGATGACATCTGCCTGTCTTTTCGCCTCACGCCGCAGAAACGCAAACTTCTCGTCCCTCGATGAACATGGCTGGTTCGGAGCATGCTCACAAGTCGCTGTATAGGCGGCAACCTCTTCAAGTTCTGCCTGGTCGAACTGGAAAGCCTCCAATAAGACTCTTGCAACATCAAGGTGAAACGCTGCGCATGCCAGACTTAATGCGTGGCTCTTCTGATCTTGAGTCCATTCTGAAGTCCAAGACAATAAGTCAGACACCATATCTGCCTGTCCTTCGAACGCTGCGACCTCAAGCAGCGTACCAGACTCGATCACGCGCGGGGAATAATCGTCCGGGTATTTTTGCCTATGCGCGCCTAAGTCCCATAATGTTTTGGCCATATCGCGGCGCCCAAGTCGCACCGCAAGGCGTATAGGTGTATCTTCCATACGTATGTTGGTGCAGCCTTCATCTAGAATGTCCATGTTGGCGCCACGCTCTAGGAGCGCTGCCAAAGCGGTGGGCTGATTGCGCCACACGGCTACGTGCAAAGCTGTACCAAAACCACTAAACTTGCCGCGGGCGACATGGATCTCATCGATGTCTTTGCCTGTGTCCACAAGTCTGTGGATTTGTGGAACATCGCCATGGCTTGCGGCTAGATGCAAGGCGTACGCAGAATTGTTACCGAAGAGGTCGTCGAAAAAAGCTGCATCGGGTGTATCATGCATGGCTTATGGCAGAGCATTCGCATGCATATGTGTATTTGTGGTCGTTGTGGAAAGAAAGATGAAGTCGAAATGCACGGCAGTTTCTTGCATTTATGATGTGGTTCATCTATATTGGCGATCGGCTAACGGGAGCTGCCTACACCCATTTGCAAGAGCAAAAACTTTTCGGCGGCCCGCCCCCCCCCCCCCAAAATTCCCTGGCGGCGCCCCCCCCCACCTTCTCAGACGTAAGCAGTCATGATTTGAATACTGCGGGGATGTAAACTACGCAGCCATGATCACATATATGTGGCAGCCGAGCACCGAACATCGGCAGTCATACAGATACAGGGACCAGGAACAGTGCGAAAGACCATTCTGGTGACATCACGGCTCTACGGCAGGGAGTATTTGCTCGCTGCTCCTTTGTGGGTAATAGTGCAAGTGAGGATCTATCTCTTCAAAGGATATGGTGATCTCTGCACTGGCTGAGCGGTGCCCGCGCCGGTGGAGAGTGTGGCAACAGGGCAAGCCATACTTCTTCATGAAAGATCCTGTAGTATCCGGCATTGTGTTGGGCTGCATTATAAGTTAGCTTACTGACCTACTTCTGAACAGGCGACGTAAGTGCATGCCGATAGCTGGCGCTCGGCTACCCCGTATATTTGATTGTGATTGCGTAGTTTACATCCCCGCAGTTAATGTGCCGAGTGTGAACATCGGCCGTCGTTGCAGAGGCGCTAATCAAACGGATCACGGCCCACAAATCGAGTTAGAACCTAACTGCACCAAATTCTTGTCGTCATAGTTCATGGGGAAGTTGCCATCGCAGCGCCATGCACATGCTATCCAGAGTCCGTCACTTTCGCAGCATGGATCTCCAAAATCATATAGTTCTCGCTGTCTCACGATGTATTTACGGATACTATAAGCTATTGTATACATGACCCACCATCGGTCTGACCTCTTGAAGTATAATTAGTCGGCCATGGAAAAAAAAAAAAAAAAAAAAAAAAAAAATGGAAAGGAAATAATCGTACAGGGACGACAGCTATGCTACACGCAGTACACAGATTAAGGCGGATTGCCTGGATCTGGAATGGTGAACTCGTACGTGTACGAATTACCGTTCCTGATTATCGTGAACGACACCTGGTACGGATCCGCGTTAAAGAACTCCGACGAAGAGTCACCCCGCTCCAAGAATGCTAGACTTGACCCTATATCAATATCCCCATTATTGTCAAAGGTCGCACCTCTAACGATGGGCGAAATTCCCGGCGTGGCAAGGTAGCCCGTGTTGAACAGCGCATTCGCCCAAACCGAAAATCGGTCGTAGAATGAACCAGCGGGCAGACTTCCTCTAGCAGGAGTACCAACGTACCAAAGGGCGTTTCTCGTCGTGAGTTCGGGCACGTCAATACAATCGAAACCTGGTCCTCGAGCATTGAGATCGCCGTACTGAGAATTATCCACACGCCATCCGATCTGAGCTCCTGTCCGACGCTGCCCGTGGAACATTGACACGCGCTGGATGCCAACACGGGTGCGGCCGTTCAATCTGTTGAAGACCTGCGTTTCAGGATTGATATGCAGGTGGAAGACTACCCATCGATCATCTGGAGCATTCGCTGGGCGAGCCGGAGGAGTTCGACGATCGCGATACTGGTTAAGGTTCAAGTTGGTTTCCTCTGCCTGGGTTGGCGCAACACCGCGGTTGGGTCCGATCCAGTAGGCCACCTCAAGAAAGGGTCTACAAGCAGTTAGAGTCTGTTGCATCTCATGTTTTCGGATACTACGTCACGTACCCTGGTGGAGCTCCAGAGCCTGTGCCCGTCTGGTACTGCCATCGAGCGTAGTGGAGGGTAAGATGTCCTGCCTCAATACCGCTGAGAATCCTCTCCCATGAAGGATAATTATTGGCAGTATCACTTGTCGTATCTCCCCACGAGTCAATGGCTCGGCGGTTCTCTCTGGTATCGTATACACCTTCTACAAGACCTCTCTTAGAAGTAGAAGCAGCAGAGCAGAATTTGCTCTCCACGTCTTTCATCAACCGCAACGCAGGACCCGCCTCAATGGCATTATAGAACATCCATTCCAGTACTGCAGTACGATCGATATTTGGCCGAGCCTTGAAGAATGTGGTCAGGCTGGAGTATGTAAGCTGCTCATCGAATGCGCCTGCAAATATATCGTCCCAGAGAGTTTGTAAGGCTGTCATATTGCTCGATGAGTGTCCAAAGAATACACCAGAGTACTGAATGAGTCGAGTCCAGGAATCGGTTGTGCATACGCCATCCCTCTTCATCAAGTGATCGGACATAGCCATTGCATCAAGCGAGCGCTTCGCTTCGGTTTTGGTGGTATGCCATGAGTGAAGATTTGGATGGAGGGTTGTCCTTGGACAAACAGGGTCGGACATATATCTGTAGGTGTGAGCTCAATTTTTACTTGTGTTAGCAAAGTTGACTCACTTCTGAAGCAATGCTTTGAACTCTTCGGCGCCTTTCCCTCCAAACCCGGGTTCTTTCGGCTTGATTTTGGGTTCGGGCTTACCTTTGCAGCAATATGCTCCTTGTCCGAGTGCACAGTCGCCTGTCTGTCTGCCAAGTCTGATCGAGCCAGCAGGACAGCTGGGCTCACACCAGCCTTCAATCTTGTAAACGTTTGTTGCCTTAGTGTACCAAGCGCAGTCCGTGAATACGTCAGGAATTTCTGTGCAACAGTAACTTTTCGCACCTGAGCAGTACGTTAGCTACCCTAGGGTACATTTATGTAAGAGTTCACTGAAAGACCTTACCTCTAGTGCACGTCTGTTCTCCGCCGAAGCCAGCGCTGGCGGCAAATAGGCGTTTTGAGTGATCACTAGGACAAGGATACTGCTTGCCGGCTCCAGCACAAAGATCAGCGCTACCATACCACTTACACATACCGTATGCATGTGTTGTGGAAGTATCCTGGCAACATGCACTCTGATGTCGTAGATTGCAACCAGCCTGCTTTGAGTCAGTATCGTTGATGCCAATTGGTGATGTTGGAGACTTACCACTTGTGTCCCCACTTCCACTTCGCCATCGCTGCAACCAGGGCTGCAGTCGCCGGACGGCGTAAGTCCGCGCCATGTACACTTTGGCATGGACTGTGTAGAAGGGCAGCAGAATGTAGCTTTGGTTCCACCGCAAGGCGTTGCGTCTTCGAAGACCTGGTTCGTCTTTCCATCCCAAGGTACTGCCTTGAAACCATCAGCACATTGCTCGCCACAATTCGACCATCTGCAGGTCTGAATAGCTTTGGGTGGTGCTTCGAGCTCTGGCTGCTCGTTGAAGTTGGGCATGTTCATGACCGTGCGCCCAGCTGCTCGAGTGAGAGCCATGGCATTCGTAGAACTTGTATCATCCTGGCTAATAGCCCAAACCATGATACCTGAGATACACTGTCCCCTGGCGGTATTCAGCTTGAGTCTCCAAGTCTGCTCGTCGTCGAAAGAAGTCCATTGATTGTCCCAGTGTATCGTCTTCACCATTTCGGTGCGATAGGATTTCGGCGTCAGCTTTTTCTCCTTGATGATGTCCTTGACCTCGGCATGAAGCAGCACTCCAGCGGTATTGGAGCATTTTCCAGGATTGCCTGCGGATACGACCCCACATTTGGGCTCGTTGCAACCAGGATCACTTAATTGGAAAGTTCTGGTGTAGAATGATGTGCCCAAAATGACTTTCTTTGGGTCAATATCGTTGCGCCATAGCAAGTCTAAACCGTCCTGGATGTCAGTCCAGTTGGTGTGCGCATTCACGAAAGGTCTATTTGTCCGTGAGCAAATGCGTGTCAGTCAGGCAAAGAAACGTACCCAGTCCATTTGTTAAGTATGTCCCATGCTCCGTGCATGTCATATGTCATGACATTGAACCAATCAACGTGTTTCTGCAGTGCAACGATGTCGAAGTGCTGGAGATCTGTTGAGCTGTAATTAGCATGAGAAATGGTTTCCTTGGGTATTGTTTGACGGCTTACACCACAGACTGGCCGGAAGTGTCAAAGAAATGCCTTGTGTCTTGAGAAGGCCACCGAAAAGGCCTAGCCTTTGTCGGAACCGCTTGATGAAGTTAGTGAAGTTGTCGTAATCCTCTTTGCGGCCACTGCGATCATCTGCCACTGGGTACTCCCAGTCAATGTCGATGCCGTCAAAACCATACGTGTTCATCATACGAATTGCCGAACTGATGAAAAGGTCTTGATTCGCAACGCTGCTAACAATCTCGCTGAAAGTTTTCGCAGTGGGCATCCAAGGATCATTGAAGGACCAGCCACCAACGGCTACCCATATTTCAATGTCAGGCTGTAGTAATCGTATGGCGCCAATCCTTTTCATTAGCGATTCGGTGTCAGAGTTTCCCGGCTCGAGTCGGTAAGTCTGTGGGTCGATTGTAGCAAACGCGAAACTATTGTCGTCAGAAATTGCCATGACTATCGCAATACAGAAGCGCGTACTTGATGTGGGTGTAAACACCATAGGGAATGTCTTCGGGTTGCATGCCATAGCATGAGCGCTCGGTCATAGACCAGGCTTCGTAGTATCCAATCACTTTCTCAATACTCGTAGAGGCTACATCGCACGATGGCCTTTTGACTTTCTTGTCACCGCAAAAGTCTTGCGTCGTTCCACAGTACCCAGATCTACAATCATGCCAGTCAATTTCAGCTTGTAACGTGGCTGCGTAGCGATGGATAAAGAGATACATACTTGCTGCAGCAGACCTTGAGTGGGCATTCGGTGGCATTACTCCATTGGTCACCACTCCATCCAGGGTTGCACTCCTATTTACGTTGACAGGTACTTTGGCAACCATCGCTACGGTAGTCAGTATTGATGAAAACTTTCATGCCAGTGTACGCAAGACATACCCACAATAGTCAGGACCATAACCACAGTATCCTGACTTACTACAACAACCGGAAGGGCATGGGTTCGCTGCAGAACAGTCTTGTTGTACAGTGAGAGTAACTTGTAAAAGAAGCGTTATTATGAGTGTGAAAACCGACGAGGCCTTCATGATAGTGAACGAGGGAAGTAGAGGCCCTGGAGCGCATCTACCCTTTGATTTGATGTAATCGGATGCCGAGAGCGCGAAGAATCAGGATAAAGAAAAGTGAGGGCAAGGTTGCTCTTTGTGATCTTGAAGCTCCTACTTTGACGAGGCAGACTTGCGGTGTGCTCTGCACGCCAAAGGGGGCTTACGGCTTCGACTGTTGAAGAGTGGATCGTCGAAACCCATACTTCGATGCCTGACTACGTTAGTTCCGCGTAAAATATCATAATTTCAGGGTTCACTGAAAATTGTAGTTGGTGTGGAGACATCTAGGCCTCATTCTGATACCTCGGACCGGTCCCCTGACATGGTCATGGGTACAAAAGAGGGTCGTGCTTGTCAACCACGCCGCATACGCCCTGTAAGATTGGCTTGCTTTCCATATTGCAATACTGGGACCAGACTTACGGGACCACAACTAGAGTATAGCTCATCTCCGAAGGCTCTGGATGGCTGATGTCCGTGGGGGCGGTATTGACTACCCGAAGCATGTCTCGCGCAGCTCGATTCCAAAGATCCTGATATGTTGTCGAAACTCATGTGAAGAGTCCGGTCTGGTTTGCTCTCCAGCTTCAGCTCCATCCTGCGTCCGCTCTTTACCAGTCATTCGTTCACCACCCGTTAACTGCCAGTTGCATCTTTGCTATCAACATGGCGTTAATTCGTTTTTTTCTTTCCGTTACTCTTTACTTTCTACTCGCAACACCTTTGAGTGCGGGAGTCGTGCCCCTTTTGAATCGTCGTCAAACTGCAACTGGATTTTCTTTGGTTCCTGATGGTGCTCTTAAGGGTGCTGCACTGGCTACCCTTTGCGAGCAGGTATTATACCAGAGCATCAATTGCAACAACTTCACCAAAACCCTTAATGAACCCAAATACCACCATTCACTCAATGATACGGCTCTAACGAATTCCGTGTGCGCTCCCTCATGTGGGACAGCACTTGCGAGAGCGCGAACTCGGATTGCAGGTGCTTGCGCGACCACACCTGAGCTAGTACCCGGATTTCCAGCTCTTGCCCTAATCGACAAGGTTTATACTGGATGGAACGAAACGTGCCTGAAAGACACTGCGACATCTGCATTTTGCAATGGTGAGTCCGCTGTTTCTGAACATACACGGGAAACCAGACCAGTTCGGCTGACTTTTACAGACATTATCGATTCGTGGACGCCAGTAGCAAAACTGGAAGACATGCCGAAAGCTCAGCTTTGCTCCTATTGCTACGGCGCTAAGCTCAAACTTATGAGAAGCTCTCCCTATTCGGGGTATGACTCGCACTTCGCAGTGATGTTGGATTTTGTCAATCAAAGTAAGTGTGTTGGCCCCAGATTGAACAACACTAACATAGAAAACAGACTGCGGTGGTACTGCGGCACCTAGCCAGCCACTACCAAGCCCTATCCAAGTCAACGAGACCAGTCCAATATGCTCATCGGGGAAGACCTACAAGACAAAGACTGGCGATACGTGCGACAGTGTCGCGCTATCGAACAGTGTATCATCCGCAACACTGTATTACACGAATCCAAATCTTCTCGACTGTGCGAACATAACAGAGGGCTTAACGCTTTGTCTGCCACTAGAATGCAGGACTTACACAGTACAGAAAAATGATAGATGTGTACCTGTCGCTGTTGAGCACGGTTCGACTTGGCAGGATCTCGTGGCCTGGAATGCCGGTATTGATGCGCAGTGCTCCAATCTTTACGGAGCTACACCTTCTTTTGGCACGACAATCTGCGTATCACCCCCTGGCGGCAAACTCAACCCAGAGACTCCGACTAACTCTACGCTTCCTCCAGGTAACGGCAACACCGGTGGTCATGGCGGGAGTGGTGACGGCTATGCGAAGGAGATCGTCGACCCTCCAGCGGGTACTGTTGCAAGTGGTACCACGAGCAAATGCGGCGACTACATTCAGGCTCATGCAAGTACTGGTTGCGCTGCCATGATTGCACCGTATGCTATGACGATGGATTTGTTCCTTGCGGTTAATCCGAGTCTCAAATCCGTCGCCGAATGCACCTCAAACCTCAGAGATGGTGTCTGGTATTGTCTACATCCAGTCAAATGGTGGAATAACACGGCGAGTACAGACATCTCCATTCAGGCACCCCCGAAATCCATCACGTCGAAGAGAGTGTGGATCCCGATGAGCGATTGAGCCGCACATCGCCGTGTCGAAAAAGGCTTTGGAGCTTCGAGTGTTGCGGTCTATGGCACGATGGAGGCCTTGAGCGGTGGCTCCTTACATATTGTAGTTTAGTTTCGAAGATTCTGATTTGGTTTCGCAATGTCCAATGTGGTTGTCGTAGCATATCGACCGAATTCTCCCCTACTGCTTGTCTGTTGAAAACATGAAATCATAGCGAGCCGCATACACCTGCAGTTAGGCGCTCTCCTTGCGCTACGTGCTTCTCAGGCCACCCGACGTTCAACATCCGAACCGTTTTACCAACGAAATGTGAATAGCAACGTGAACTTTCTACGCATCACGAGTCCATATTGAGCGAGATTACATCCGATGTTGATTTGCTTCGCTTTACCCTCAAATCTTGTCGAGGTCCGACTCTCGCACGAGGCAGACTGTAACGATACCTGTATCCAAGCCTAAACTACTTGGCCCGTGGGCTTCATGGTGCAATCCTAGCAGCCCTTTCTGATCCTCCTTATATTGCGGCGTAGTTCAGCACCGTGCATCTCTAGAATTATTCTGGGATGGCAAGCTAGCAGCCCTTTCTGATCCTCCCCATATTGCGGCGTAGTCCAGCACCGTGCATCTCTGGAATTATCCCGGGTTGTCAAGCTAGCAGCCCTTTCTGATCCTCCCCATATTGCGGCCTAGTCCAGTACCGTGCATCTTTGATATGCCCTTTCTAATCTTCCGTATATTGCGGCGTAGCCTAGCAGCACCGCGCATCTATGCGCGAAAGAGTAATCATTTGCCAAGCAGGGTACACTAGAATCTTGAGCGCAAACGAGGAGGTATGCTTCGGTGAGACGCTCGTCTAGGTAAAGCTCATACCTAAGCCGAAATTATGAGCTCAGAATGTGGCACAGCCAGCTTGTCACTACTATACTGTAAGCTTTCGTCCTGCAGCCAAGAACTACAGAGGTCGTATACCCCTAATAGCAGTCGTAGAGCTCCTTCATCTCACGGGAAATGAAGCTTGAAAGGTTCGGAACGTTCGTTGACCCCACAAGGACATCAAATGATACCACGTAACACTAATTTACTGCATGCTAGACGCACTGCCAAGACAGCGAATTTAAGGCACATACCACAAGGCGTAAAATCACGCGGAGAAGGTGACCCGATCGGCTCAAGCATGGTCAAGCGCAAGCACCACGATCTGACCTAGAACCTTTCGTGTTGGAAACCAACATTCCAATACCGCTACGAATGAGCCATGTGCGGCCAAATCTGGCAATACCTCCAAGACAGTACTAGATGATTTCAGAAATGATGGGGATTTACATTTGGAAGCCGTACATATTCAACGATCCAAGCAGTCAAGAAGCTCAGCAGACAACAGTGTTTTGGCTCCTTCGCTATCGACAAAGATGTTGTTTCAAGAGGCAACAATTTACGCAGGGCTTTTGTCCCTAGCTTCTGCGTATTTGATCGAACCTCCAACTACGGCGGCACCGGATACAGCCAAAGACTGTTCTGCATGGCAGGTAGCTACACAGGACGACACATGCGTAGCCATTGCAGAAAACTGGTTGATTAGTGAAGCAGATTTCCAGGCCTATGTGAGTAAAATGCGAGTGTGATAAGACCTTGTCACTGACTTTATCAGAATCCCTCCGTTGGCTCAAGCTGCAAGCTCATTGTTGGCAACTCATACTGTGTCGAGCGTAACTACGGTGTGCCTCAGTCCGATCCGATGCCAACGCCGACACCTGTACCGACAACCAGCTCAGCCGTACCCACGAAGCCTTCTCCAACCAACGAGGTCAGCACACCCAGGCCAATCCAAGATGGCATGGTCAGCAACTGCAACAAGTTCTATTTTGTGGTCAAGGACGATACGTGCTATGATACAGCGGCAAAGTTCTCCATATCGCTGGACAATTTTTACCTCTGGAATCCAGCGGTTGGTACCGACTGCAAGAAACTCTTTCCCGACACGTACGTCTGCGTAGGTGTGATCGGGTCCAGTGCAACACCTACACCCACCCCAGGACCGAGCACCACTATTCGTCCAAGCACGACCAAAGCCACACCCACCAATGGAATCAGCACGCCAACTCCCATACAATCTGGCATGGTCAACAATTGCGACGATTTCTATTTCGTCAAGGACAATGACATCTGCGCCGACATTGTCAAAGCATACGGCATATCGCTTGAACAATTCTACGCCTGGAATCCTGCCGTGGGCAACACATGCTCCTCACTCCAGGCCAGATACTACGTCTGTGTCTCAATCGTTGGTGTTAGCCCATCGACGCTCAAGACAACTACAAAGCCTACTAGTACATCGTGGGTAATCCCACCCCCGTGTACATTCAACCTCAGTAAAGGAGAGTACGTATGCCCGTCGGCAACTCCAACACCGACCACGACCAAAGGCGGAGTTGCGACGCCGACACCTGTCCAGAGTGGGATGACGGGCAATTGTAAAAAGTTCTATAAGGTTGTCAAGGATGATGCGTGTTGGGCGATTGCGAATACGTATAAGATTGCCCTAGATGACTTTTACAAATGGAATCCTGCGGTTGGCAGTTCGTGTGCTGGGCTGCAATACGATTATTATGTATGCGTTGGGATATAGAGGTGGAGCTTGTAGCTAGTCAAGCACTTTCTCCTTGTGAGAAGGGGAAACTTTTCGGACGGTTATAGTAATCTATTTATACGAACAATTTTCATGCTCACCTTTCTCCTTATTATACTGCTCCGTACAACTTCATATGCATGAATGCTGATCTGCTGACACTTGATCGAGATTTGAGCCTTGCCACGTGCTTGAGGAAATATTCTTTGCGTAAGAGGTTGTTGTAGACATGCTGCGAATCGATCGCGTCGCACATTGGGAAGCACGCTTACCCAAGGATATCTCTTCTACCATTGACTTCGCTGCCGAAATGGACACGGTGCATTTTTCCGCTCAAAATCAATCTACTGTAAGGACGGCCCCAGTCTCCACGAGCGGCTACACTGCGGGGATTGCGGTGTGAGAAGAAATCACAAAGCAATCACTAGATGCAGTATAGGCTGGGTAAGTCGGAGTTTATTACACGAAAGAAGAATCTAAAGATGGAGAGCAAATGACTGCTCCGAAGGTCTAGATACATGGTGGTGTCGCTGGCCGGCAAGCGAGCTTGGCAGCCAAAGAAGGAAGGAGCAGAGACTTGAGATGAGATAGTGAAAGAGCAAACACGTGATGAACTAGGTAGTTAGCATGTGACTAGCATCGATCTAGCTATGTGACTAAAGGAACGCCTTAGGGCAGGCGTCTTAGGTCGAGCTATTACATTACCCCTGTTCCTATCTAAGACTTGTGTGCAAGCTCTTAAGGGAGCTACAAGCTATAAGAGGGTAAAAGAAAGAAAGAAGGAAAGTTAGCAATAGGGACCTATAAGTGCAAAGAAATCTATTGTAATTATATAATTACCTAATTCTATGTAATAGATTTAGCCTATTACCTTGTCAGATGGTAAGCCAGTTTATGGATATCTCATCTGGGACTGGAGAGAAGGACTGGAAGAAACTGTCTGTACCGGTACTATCTAAGGACATGTGGCTAGTGATTCTGCAGTAGCTAGTGCCCTGTGCAGCCTTGGTGCCCAGAGAAGGGATATCAAAACCGGTATCAGGCCCTAGCCTCACACACACAAGGACACACCTGAATACTATCAGTCAACCCATCCTCAATCAATCTTTCTGTCACCGTGACATCTTCAGATACCATCAAATCTGACAATTAAGAGTCTTACTGCCTTTACCAACATGTCTGCCAACACGATCAACAACCAAACTCAAGCCACTCTGGCTATCAGCAAGGACTGGACCTCCTGGTTCACCCAATTACAATCCAAACCAGATGCATCGGACATCTGGAACATGATTGATCCTGATGGATTCAAGGAGTTCATAGAAAGACCTACTGCTCTACTCAAGTCTCAAGTCTCAGACTATGAGCCTGCACTCCCAGCTATCCCCACTATTGAGACTGCTTCTTCTAACACCATGAGCACTAGAAGCTGCATCTAACAATCCGTCCAAGCTACCTCCATGAACGATGAAGTAATCGACCATGTTCCACCCAGATTCCTGTCAGATCTATCAACTTCAGACCTCAAGGCATACAAGGATGACTTGGAAAACTAGAAGATGGAGATGGAAGCATACAAGGAAGAACAGAGGGAATAGAAGAGAGAATAAGCAAGTCATAAAGATTTGGTCAAATATATCCAGGTGAAGAAGGGGAAGATCCTGAAACCATGGTGATGAAGGGGAAGACCCTGAAGCCAAAGTCTTTTGGGAGACCGAAGAGGTACCAAGGGCACAGAGTTGGTAAAGAAAGACAAAGTCTTGAAGCCATACCCAAGCAGCTCAAACATGGAAGACATGGAGTACCAGTGGCAGCTAGGAGCAGATGCTCTGCTTGTGATCTACCCTATTCACTCAAGGATTGCTTTTATATATTTCCAGAGAAAGCTCCTGAAGGCTTCAATCCCAGATCCTGGACAGCTAAGATGGTGCAACTAGCACTTTCATCTGATACTGATCTACAAAGAATAGTAAGAGGACTAAGGAGTGCCAGGTCTTCCAAGATACCCAGGTTCAGAGAGGAACAAACATTCAAGCCTGAGGCATGGAAGGAATGACTTGAAGGCTAGAAGATATCAGCAATCAATGCTGCATTTGTGATGGCATCATTCAGAGCAGAGTTCTCTGACTACCCATTGAGACACTGTTTCATCTTGGACTCAGGTTCTACTTATCATATTGCAAATGACAGAGGATAACTCCAGTGTATCCATGATCCAATGCCAGGTGACTGCATCTAGGCTGGCAACTCAAAGGTATGGATCCAAGGCTATGGTTCACTGATCCTTCACCTCACAGGACCCAATGGGCCTACCAAGCTTCACCTCACCAATGTGGCCCTGTGCTCAGACATCATGTGCAATCTGGTCTCATTCAGGCAACTCAGGCTACAAGGAATATGGTGGGACAACAAGAGTGACCCTACTCTCCTCAGGCTTATGGACAACACCCCAATCACCTATCTCAGGGATAGACACAATCAATGGATCATCCAGCACCATGATCCATCCCAATCTACCTTCCATACTCAAAGGATTAAGTTCAGAATCAAGAGAACAACATAGAAGGCAGATGTAGTGTTATGGCACAAGAGATTGGGACATCTAGGACCATCAGCAGTGGAACACCTTGTCCAGCAAGCTGAGGGGGTGAAGATCAAAGGAATCACCACTGTTCAGTGCAATGTATGTGGAAGAGCCAAAGGCAAGAGGAGAATCAGGAGGCTCCCAAGAGTTAATGATGAAGGACCAGGAGAGAGACTTGCTGTGGACTTTCATGACTATGAGGAAGGAAGCATCACCAAGGAGAAGAGTCAAATGCTGGTCACCTGCAGGAACTCAAGATACTCATGGGACTTCTATTTCAAGGACAATAGGCCAGCAAAGTCAATCATCAAGCAACTGGGAATCTTCATCTCCTTCCTCAAGAGATAATTCAACATCTCAGTCAAGGTCATTGAGACAGATAATGAGATTGTCACAGTTAAGTAAGAAGTGTACCGGTGGCTGTTAGGACTGGGAATCAAGGTGGAACCATCTGCCCCAGACACACAGGCCTAGAATAGAGGAGCAGAGAGACCAGGGGGATCAGTGAAGGAAAAGTCAAGAGCAATCAGGCTGGATACCAATCTACCCTTCAATCTTTGGCCAGAGATAGTCAGGGCAGCTGTCTATCTCCTCAACAGGACCCCTATCTACTCCAATGGATGGAAAACCCCATATGAGAAGTTCTTCACACCAGTGGCTCTCCAAAATGGAATCCCAACTCTGTCCAGGAAGCCAGACCTCTCTCACCTCAAGGTCTATGGATGCAAGGCATTTGCTCTCTCTGATGATACCCACAGAGGAAAGTCAAGACTGCAGAGGCTGGATCCCAAGTCATGGATTGGATACTTGGTTGGGTACCAGTCCTCCAATATCTTCAGGATCTGGATACCAACTCTGGGAAAGGTTATCAGCACCAGAGATGTTGTGTTTGATGAGCACACTGTGTTCAATGGAAAGGAGGAAGAAATCATGGACAACCTCATGCATAGTACCACTGAGGAGATTGCCAGATGGGTGAAGACTGTGGAACTTCTATCTTCTCCATCAGGTAAAGAGGAGACTCAGTCATTCTATGAGGATGAAACCATTGAAGATGCTCCTCAGGACAACCAAGAAGAACCAGACCAACCAGGATACCACCAAGGAAAGAAAATCATGGATCCTTACCCTACTCCACCTGATACTCCACCATCTATGGCACTCTTAGCACAACTTCTTTCAGGACCTAAGGAATACGATCCATCACTCCAGGACATAGGCACAGCCAAAACAACACCGTGGCATGCTGCATTCATGGCAGGAACACAAGCAGGAAATGTTGGATTCTACAAAGGAAAGCCTATTAATAAGGCACACTTGAAGAGGTTGCTAGCTTAGGGGGTGAAACCACACAGGAACCAACTACCACCTCCACCCAAGCACCATTGGCAACTCAAGGACCATGAGCTCAGAGAACAATTTGAGGAAGCAGAGAGAGCACATCTCAGATCCTATGTGCCTATCCAATCCTAGACTGAAGTCTCAGGCAAGGGAGTGAAGGATGCTGGTCATCAAATCCTGGACTGCATGTGGGTATATGTGTACAAGTTTAACAAGCACTACAGACTGGACAAATGCAAGGCTCACCTGGTTGTAAGAGGAGATCAACAGAGGAACATCACATCTCAAGACACCTATGCTGCAACTCTAGCAGGGAGATCCTTCAGGATGATGATGGCCATTGCGGCATACTTTGACCTGGAACTCAAACAATATGATGTTACCAATGCTTTTGTACATACATCCATAGATAGAGAAGTCTACATGCAGATGCCCCTAGGATATAAGAAGCCAGGAATACTCCTCAGACTCAACAAAGCCTTGTATGGACTCAGGATTTCATCCCTGCTGTGGCAGAGAGAATTGACAAAGACACTGGTAGAAATGGGATTCCATATAGTGAAACATGAACCATGTTGCCTTATCAAGGAAGGAATCATTCTGTTCTTCTATGTGGATGATATCATTATTGCTGTCAGATTTGATAGTATCTGAAGATGTCACGGTGACAGAAAGATTGAATAAAGATGGGTTGACTGATTGTATTCAGGTGTGTGCTCATGTGTGTGAGGCTGAGGCCTGACACCAGCTTTGATGTTCTTTCTCTGGGCACCAAGGCTGCACAGGGCACTAGCCACTGTAGAATCACTAGCCACATGTCCTCAGACAGTACCGGTACAGACATCTTCTCCCAGTCCTCATCTCCAGTCTTAGATGGGATGTCCATAAACTGGCTTACCATCTGACATACCCCCTCAGCTTGGAATCCATTGCAAGCTGGACCCAACAGCATCTCCTCTTCAGAGTAGCATGTCTTCCAACTTGCCTTGCACTTCATCCAAGTCTATCTCCTTCAGGGCATTTGAGTTCTTCACTCTTTCTAGTCCCAATTGTTTCAAGAACCTGTTCCACTTGT